GCACTTTCCCGAACGAAATCGTTAGACGCACCGAAAGAAGCAACATGGACCCTAGGGTAACTTTCAAACTTCAATTTATTTCCCATTGAGTCATCCTGAATGTTCCCTCCTCCCTTGGGTCGCTTTTCCACATATGCAAAAATGCAACAATTAGAACGCTCGGCTCGTACCAAATTCAAACCTGGAGAGCGTCCTAATTTAGCATCTGTTCGACCTTCTCCGTTAACATCCCAGCGTGCTTGGTCGGGTTGTACCACTGACGGATCAAATTATAAAACTCTTCCATCGAACACTTCCCGACCTCGTGGGTTTCTCCACAACCTCATATATACGAACAGGCAACGATATGATGGATGTCCCCTCTTCCCACAGCGATCGCAGGTCAGCCTTTTCCAACAACCCAAGTCTCTATGCTTCCTGGAACCACAATGGGCGCATCTTGCACTTGGGGTCGCCGACGCCGTGCAAGGTCCATGGTCTTTGGTTGAAGGCGGGGCTGGTCAACCTCTCTGATGGGTCGGTCCTTCGGGGTCCTTGGCCCTAGGTCCTTCTCCATCTCCGTAGCCATGAGGTAGACCTTCCGTAGGTTACCGTCACTATCATAACTGTCCAAACTGGAGTCTTCGGAGTGTAGTGGAGTGGGTTCTCAAAATTGCGTAATGACACCCCAAGCCACTCACTGTGCTGGACTGCCGACTGTCGGAGGGGGTACCCAAATGCCGTGTATAGACCTTCTCTCACCTTGTGTACCCGTCGGCTGGTGGGTTGCACTCTTCGGAGGACTTGGTTGAGATGTGATGTCGGCCTTGAGAGAGGTCGACCTTGAGGTGCCTCGAGTGGGTATATTTCACTCGGTAGGCGGGTAGGTGGCCACTCGGCCGACTAGGTCAAGGGTGGACTTATGACCAAATTCTTCAGGGGAGATACTCAATTGTGGCCTTTTCCTTCCTTGATATCTCAGGGGTGTTAACCGCCTGGCCTTTACTTTCTCCCGGACCACTACGGTAGGAAGACCGCTTCCGATAGCGGGTTGATTGGGGGGGAGGTGCCACTCGGACGAACCCACAGGCCAAATATATCCTGGGATTCTATTCGCACTTGGGTCTTACCACACAACTGTCTTCGACGGGGGGCCAAAATGTATCCTTCCCGGAACAGGTGGGTAGACTTAGTAAGTACCTTGGAAGTACGATGGAGGTGTGCTATGTAGATCGCAAATTGAGTAGTATTTAATATGATCCTATCTCTTAACTTCTTTACTCTATCCTTACCCTGAGACCTAATTCTTGATTCTACTAGCCGAAGGGCCGGGTAAACGAGGGGGCGGGTGACCGAGAGGCCGAGTGACCGAGGGGCCGGGTGACCGCGGGGTTATGTGACCGAGGGGCCGGGTGACTGAGGGTCCACCAACCGAAGACCAGGTCTACCAACGAAAAACCAGGGTCTACCAACGAGGAACCAGTGTCTAGGACGAAAGACTAGGGTCTACCAACGAGGGACTAGGGTCAACCTAGAAAGAACAGGGTCTACCAACGAGAGAGCAGAACGAAGGGGTCCACCTCGAGGAACCGCGGTCTATCAGACGAACCGCGTCCGAATCCTCTGAATGGAGCACGCTTAAACCGTACATTCTCCTCACCCAACGGTCGTCCCCCGTCCCTTTTAGCGCCCCATCTCTCTGTCCCTTACCTAACGGTCGCTCCTCCTTGGCGGGTCCCCTCCACTTTGACCCACCGGTCCTCTGACCTACCAATTCTTGAAACTATTTACCTCAACATGACATCTCAAGTCCATGTCATGTGTACGGTATGCGCAAAGGGATGATGTGGTAAAGTGCTTTCACAAAATGTGAAGAAATCAAGGACCAGTGGGCCGGAGACAAAAATTACTGCCAAGGTACCGGTTCAACGGTACTAAAAAGGAGTGAACCTTGGTAGACCTCGGTCTCTCAAGGTGAACCTCCGGGACACTGCCGCACGATGACCTTGTTTCCAGTAGCGGTAACAAGTCATTGGGCGTATCCCTTGAACGGTACTGCAAGGCCATACGACGCCGATCATCCAACAACTCGGGGGGCATCTATCAAAAATTCTACTGTGGAATAGCTCATAAGAGCATTTCTGAACCCTTGCAGCATGGTCTCTCATCGGTAGACCTCGGCTCTCATGATCGACCATGGTATTTCAGGACTAGGCTACCCCTGGCTGCTGGGGCCAGTACCAGTTAGGTTCAAAGCGCTGATGGTCTCAAACACAGGATCGGCGTAGCAGGACATGCCAGCGTGGAGGGGGGGGATGCTAGACCTCACTATATACCTCGTCAGGTATCACTGCTTGGTCTGAATATCACTCACAATACGAAGCCACTGATCAGCCTTACTCTAATCGGAAACCGGACACCGAAGCTGGTGCTGTTGTAGAACTTACGGAAGCCACTGCCGGTCCGTGGTTCACGGGGCCACTGATCATCGTGACGTATTAAAAGCCACGGCTTCAATGTATTGGCTCAGGAAACACATCTCAATTGAGGAAGCACAGGTCGTGTTGTTCACACCACGCACGAAGGGCCGTAGCTTTCTTTGTTTGGTGCGCAGGTTGTTAATTCAGAATCCCCATGACGACATGTAGCCATGTTTTCGCTGACCTGGTGAGGTGGGCGAGAACCGTGGAGACATGGATTTTACGTGGCTGAACCGTGTGGTCAAGCCAAATCTCTTGCTTATAATGAGGACAATCCTGAAGCCTTACACTCGATCTCCCCTCGCATTTTGTCGTACCACCAAGTTGAAATCCCCACAGATGATCCAAAAGGAAGAGAAATGATACGTTTTGATCAATGACCAGTAGCTCATCACTCCTCGCAAAGTCGTCAAATTAATACAACAAGACCACGGCACGTTGCAGAAGCGTGCGATTTACCGGTAGCATACTTGACGACTCTCCCCGACAGCCCGCGTACACATATCCGCGAGTAGATAATCGATATATTTTCCGTGCAAACGAAGTAACTCATCGCACCTGAGTCCCAAAGCAAGCGATTCGTATTATCGACGTGCACACTGAGCAAAATCGGTCGCTTTTCTGCGCTGGACGTGGAGGCATGAAGCTGCGCATGGAGCGAAGCGAAAAGGCTAGAAGACCGAGGCGTCACGAACAATATATTTATTCCGATTCACCAAGTAGAACATTCCACGCCTACTTGACGTCTCGTGCTTTTACCGCGCAGAGGTCTACACCCTCCTAGTAAATCTCGACGGCGGCACGTATTGGAGCGGGAGCGGTTGACCGCTCCGCAGTCACCCTGCTTGCGACAGTGAAAGCAGATCATCAGATGCTGCGTCCAAGTGCCGACTTTACGAAGGGCATATGACGCCGACCACCTGACGCCTCTATCGTATAGGTCCCATGAGCTCGGGGACAGAGGCACGCACGTCATACGTCATAAAACCCAGCGTGTGATGCAACCACCGCATAATCCTCCCAAAAACCCAGAGAAAGACATTTCCAAGGGAAGACGGCTCAGCACGCTTATGACAGTATCATTTCATTGCGGTTGGAGTGGGTTCTTCAAACGGTGTGATGAGACCCCAAACCACTCACTCTGCCGGACTGCCGACTGTCGGAGGGATTATCTCGAGGCCGCGCATGGACCTTCGTTCACCTTGTGTACCCGTCGGCTGGCGGAATGCACTCTTCGCAATTTTTGGACCTGGGGGATCTCGAGTGGATATGCTTCAATCGATGGGCTAGTGGGTGCACTTCATCGACTCGGTAGAGAGTACACTTATATCCAAATCTTTCAGGGCAACTTGTCGACCCTGGCCTTTTCTCTAATTGTCTGAGGGGTGGATCTTTACTTGCTCCTAAACCACTAGGGTTGAGAGATCGCTTCCGATAGCGGGTTGATTGGGGGTTCTACTCGAGACGAACACACAGACCAAATACTTCCTGGGATTTTCTTTGCAATTGAGTCTTGTCTTCGACGGGGGCCAAAGTGTATCCCTTCCCGGAACAGTAGGAAGACTTAACAAGCTTCTTATGACTTGGATCGCAAATTGAGTAGTATTTAGTATAGTCCTATCTTTCAACTCCTTTGTTCTATCCTTGCCTCATACCTTGGTTCCTTATGTTCATTGACCATTCGCTTCAGGTGGTGAGTTTTCCTCACAACGCGTCGCGTCTGGCATCACACAATTTCCAGCAGTGTCGTAGAATGGACGACAAGATATGTTACTGGTGAGTTGCCTGCACCTGACTGGCTGGCACAGACCATTAGTAGTGAGTAGGAATAGGGGAGGGGCATTACCATGTGGGATAAGCCGCGATGGTGGGATGCAAAACGGACACCAAGCTGCAGTTATGTTGCCTCCTCGTCGCATATACACGTAATTGCATGTCATTAGCATTATCATTATTGATGATGACCATTTTGTTACTTTTACTTCTACCCACTATGGAACAAGTGCAAGATCTTCTTCTAACAGTGATAAGATCGGTGAGCAGAAAAAAAGTTTGGACCGTGGAACAATTACGTGAACTGTTGACAATCAACGATAACGTCGCAAGAAACGTCACCGACTCTGACTACCAGGAACTTTGGTGAGGCAATTCATCGCAGTCACATAGATAAAAAGGTGATTTACGGTAATCTCAGAAAGACTTGAAGCATTGCAAAATCTTGGGAACACGGTTGTGAGAGTTCCAGCAATACTTCAGCAAAAATTTTTTGAATTCATGAGACAAAGTATAGCTGCTAGTGGTTATTCTGTAGAGTACTTGAATGCCAGATAGGTTTCATGCTAAAACGATCAAGTAATTTTCGGGTAATGATGGTATCAAAGTTTCCAGGACCTTTTTAAACAAGGTCAAAATTTAGCTGATCTAAAATCAGTTTTGGTAAACGTCACTCATTTCAACTCCCTCACAATATTGACGTCTGTATTTCAAATCAAATAAAGGGAGAAGAAAAATCCCATACTAAATTTGCGCGCGAAGAGCTCCATGGAATTGCAACAAGACGCACTGGACGAGGTTTTCCGTCGTCATAAGCAGTATTTTCATGAATTTCTAAGCAATGAGGTGCGTTTTTTTTGTATTTTTGATCTTGTTTTTCTGTTTTGATTGAAACGGTAAGGAATGATTGTAAGAATGAATGTATGATCGATATGTATACATGGCTACATTTTGGGTCATTGTTTAGGGCAGTTTTGGTCATTATGCAGAAAAATTACGCAGTATGATGCATCAAAAGAGTACACGATTAATTGTTGACCTGAATGATCTTCGTGAATACGACAGTTCATTTACGGATCCAGCAGTAGACGGGCAAGAGAATAATATTGTAAATCGATTATTGCAGAATCCAGCAGAATTTGTACCACCGTTTGAAGATGCAGTCAAAGAAATGGTGTTTAATCTAGACAGTCTATATGGTAGCAAAGAAGCTGAAGCTACAAAGGAGATGCAGTTTTATGTGGGATTTGAAGGAGATTTTGGCCATCATAATGTAAACCCAAGAGGTCTCTTGGCTTCGTACCTTACCCAGATGGTATGTGTCCATGGTATCATTACAAAATGCTCGGCAGTGCGACCAAAGGTTGTACGTAGTGTACATTATTGCAAGGAAACAAATGCGATTTTATCCAGGGAGTATAGAGACAACACGTCGATTACAGGTGCTCCGACATCTAGTGTCTATCCGACAAAAGATGAGCATGGCAATTTGTTGGAGACGGAATTTGGACTATCGCGATATAAGGATTACCAGGTGGTTAGTATGCAGGAAACACCCGAGACGGCACCACTTGGACAACTCCCAAGGTCGTGCGAGATCATTGTTGAAAACGACATTGTGGACAAGTGTAAACCGGGGGACCGTGTTCGTGTGGTCGGTATTTACCGCCCACTCGGTGGAAATAGCACAGCTGCATCGACAGCAGTTTTTAGGACGGTACTTATTGCTAACAACGTTCAGCTCATGGGTAAGGAAGTGAATGGCATTGTTATGTCGCGTGACGACCTGGTGAATGTCCGTGAGTTCGCAAAACGCCTCGACGCGTTTGAAATGCTCTCACGATCGATAGCGCCGTCTATCTATGGTCATGGCGAGATCAAGCAGACGCTGCTGCTTCAGCTACTAGGTGGTGTTGAGAAAAACCTGGAGAACGGGACGCATCTTCGTGGTGATGTCAACGTGAGAATACTTGCTTTGACCCCGATTTGCGGTTTGTTGCTGTAATTGCTAAACTCTCGTCGATTCTGCAGATTTTGATGGTGGGTGATCCATCGACAGCCAAGTCTCAGCTCCTACGTTTCGTCCGAACGATCGCGCCTCTTGCCGTCAATACCACAGGTCGTGGTTCGTCTGGTGTTGGTTTGACCGCTGCTGTGACGATTGACCCTGACACCAAAGAGCGCCGACTGGAAGCCGGCGCTATGGTGCTCGCTGACCGCGGTATCGTATGCATTGACGAGTTCGACAAGATGAGGTAAGAAAAGTTTGTTCCGTTAGCTTTATACATCGAACGGGGCTGACTACGCATCTCACTATAGCGAAGCAGATCGTGTGGCTATTCATGAAGTCATGGAGCAGCAGACAGTGACAATTGCAAAGGCTGGCATTCATGCCACTTTGAATGCTCGATGTAGCGTTCTCGCTGCGGCCAACCCCGTGTATGGTCAATACAACAAGAACAAAAAGCCACAGGAGAACATTGGTCTACCGGATTCGCTGTTGTCCCGTTTTGACTTGCTTTTCGTGGTGCTTGATCGTCTGGACCGTGGTGCGGACCGCAACATTTCAGACCATGTCCTGCGCATGCATCGGTATACTCGCCCGGGCCAGGAAGGCGTTCCTCTCTCGTTTGAAGTGAGCTCTACGGATCACATGGCTTTGTTCAGCGAATCGACTGATGATCAATCCGACCAGTCTAAAAGCAGCATTTTTCAAAAGTTCGACCCGCTGCTTCACGGTGAATACCAGTCGTCATCGTATGCTGGTAGTGGCAACGGTATCCTCAAGCTAGACTTCCTCAAAAAGTACATTTATTACGCGAAGATGCGTTACCAACCCGTGCTAACAGACAGTGCGATCGAGCTAATCTCGGAGGGATATGCAGAGCTTCGTTCTCAGCAGAACGCGCGGACACTGCCAGTGACTGCGCGTAGTTTGGAAACGCTGATTCGTCTTGCGTCGGCACATGCAAAAGCGCGCCTGAGCAAGACGATTGATGCTGTGGATGCTGAGAAGGCTATCTCTCTCATTAGTTTTGCTCTGTACCACGATGCGTCAGAGCCCCATTCAGACAATGCCTCCGTAGCTGCAAGAGCAGATGAGCTTCGAGAACCAGAGATGGGCAGCGAGAAGGCCATGGCAGAACTAGAGATTGAGACACCTGAGGCTCCAGAGAAACCTATAATTAGTGCCAAATCAAGGAAACGTGACCGAGCATCATGGAGGTACGTGTTTTCTATTTGTATGTGCAGTGATTTGTACGTGTGCTTACTTATTGTGCTTTGCATGGTTGTTGGTCCAGTTCTTCTTCCCTTGCCGACGATGTTTTATGCGTCTTGTCAGAGATGGGCAGTGATACGAACATGGATGATGCTAACGACAATATCAGGCTGTTGAGCATCCTCTCGCGACTGAATGGTAGTCGCTCTCAAGGCGCTGTAGTACCCCGTGCTGAATTGGAAAAGGTTTTATTGGATCTGGAGGAGCAGAATAAGGTCATGTACATTCAGGATGGTGATGACCCGATGGTTATGCTCATTTAGGCCTCTCTATAGCATTCCCAGTCTCTAAGGTAAGACCCAAAGTGATTTGTATTGCGGAAAAGGCAGCAAAACCACTAAACATTTGTATGCAATTTTCATCCAAATGTCGAGACAGCAAGTGTATTGGACAAAGGTTTCAAGTGATCAAAAGAGACGTTGATGGCTAGTTGTCATTCTTCTTCTTGTACTGGGTCAACGTCATGTCAATGTAATTTTCCATGTTTGTGAAGGCAGCAAAATGGCTCAGGAACTGATCTCTGAGACTTGTGGTGTTATCTGGCTTGGCATTTGCTCATTGGACGCTTCCTTTGCTACAAGATTGACCTTTTTCGTCTGTCGAGGTAGTTTTGATGCTTTTGGAGAGAGCAGACGACGGACGACGCATTTGATCTCGTAGAGACAAAAATGGGGGAACACAAGACGACGTCATCATGGGTGACGTCGCCCTCGATATAAAACGGTCGCAAGAACTTTTCGTGATTAATTTACCTTTTTTTACACGGAAAGATATATAGATTTCATGCCAGACATTCGCGTTAGAAATAATAAATTACTGACAGAATCAGATCTCTCTCATTAAGAATATTAACAGCTCTTTTTTATTCTTAGATAGAAAAATGCTAGTAAGGTCACTCCAAGTCTATGGACATCGCCATATGCTACGCAATAATGTCAATGGATACCGTGTATTCTGTTCTGCACGGAAGAATAAGAACGTGAGTGCATCTATTCCGCTTGGGCTTGGTGTTGCCACCGGTACGAAGTACTTATTCGAATCAGAATCGTACAAACATTATCATACATTCACTCTCATCTGATTCATGGTGTATCTAATTGATTGTAATATATAAAATGCTCGTTAATTGTATGTTATTTTTATAGGTGGTCTAGCTGGTGTCATCTCAGGCCTAACAGGTGTTGGTGGCGGTATAATTCTGATTCCGGTGGGACTTTTAATTTCGGACACAAATGTTCACTGCCATAATATTTTTATTGTCACCCTCATGTATGGAATGCTTTTTAATTGTAGGTGATGGCCAATCTAACGTCACTGCCTCAACAGGTCATTAATGGCACATCATTGAGTGCTGTAGCAATTGCTGCATCAATTGGTGCATGGAATTATCTTGAAGCTGGAGCTTGTAATGTGCCATTGGCATTAATAACTACACTTCCAGCTATTCTTGGTACAAAATACGGTGTACGAACTGCCCATCGACTCAGCAGCAAGAGATTATCAGTTGTTGTAGGCTCTGCAATGCTCTTTTGTTCACCGCTAATTTTCCTCAAGAATAGCGCGTATATGCCCAAATGGAGTGATAATCAAGACCCAGTGGACCTGCAGTTTTATGTGCCGCAACAGAAGGATCTCGTTACAGTGTGTGCATCTCCAAGTAAAATGCATCAGTCAATTGCAGCTACATCAGCAACTGTATCAGCTGAATACATGGAACGTGTAAAGACTGACTGGAAACACTTTGCTTTCGTCAATGCAAAGTACGTGTTTGCTGGGGCAGCAGCAGGGTTTATTTCGGGACTCTGTGGACTTGGAGGAGGAGTTCTCATTACGTCATATTTGACTGCAGCAAGTGACATGCCACAAGCCACAATCATTGGCACATCGCTCTTATCTGTGGTCCCCACCGCTGCATCGTCAACGGTCTTTAATCTTCGAGCCAAGTCCGTTCATTTGCCGACTGCTGTACGCATTGGTGGCTCACTGGGCATTGCCGTCTATGTCACTTCCAAGTACATTACTCACGACGTCCCTGAAGATATTCTGCGCGGTGTGCTAGGCACTACACTTGGTGCCGCCGCCTTCGTCATGATGCGTCGTGCCATTTAGAATATCATTCTTATCTGCAGTAAAGCAGATCAAAAAAAACGAAGAGCTCTGCAATATAAAACATACACGAAAAGACTTATGGTATCTCCTGCCTTCATCTACTTGTTCTTCTTCCTCTCGTAGACAGGTTCAAACGTTATTGGATGTACGCCAAAGATATCGACGTAATCCACTGTCGGAATGCCCCAACTCGTCGTCGCCTGCACAAACACACGTCGCAGTAACATACCCTTCTTGCCATTGATAGTACTCAATGCCATCACGTTTCCATGCTTGTCTAGACGGAGGACACAATCGCGATCACGCAACGAAGCGATAGCCACTATGTATTCGCCCGGCACATCCGATGGCTTGAATGTAATACCATAAGCCGTGTTACGCTCAATCATGGTTAAATCTTCACGTGGGTTACCATCCTTTTCGTACATGATCCAGAATACCTTCATCGGATTCGTCGGGTCAAGTGAGTTACCATCCCTTGACTTGCATCCAGCATACACGACTGTATTTGTATTCTACCAGAAAAAAACATATTGCAAACTTCCGGTGAGCATCGCAACTTCATCCATCTCATCCAATCAAAAGATTCACACATCACTTGACTCACATTACTTCGTTGAATAATAAATGCCACATTAGGCTCTTCCTTCGCCACTATTTCTAAATGCTTATCCATAGGCAGCATCACCTTGAAATCGTTTTCATTTCCATCATCACCACTACAATAAGAAAAACAATAACAACATGTACAACTCAAGGTTAGAAAACCACAGACACACTCCCTCCCTCCCTCTCTCTACTTCTCACCTCCTTTCATCAATCACACTCTCTTCATTCTCCCGTTTCTTCTCCCTTCTTCTTCTTCTTCGATATCAATTCAATCTCGTGTCGTTTTTCATATATCACATCGCCAGAAGTGTCAACAATTATCTCTGGAACCTCATTCTTCTTCTTCTTCTTCTCTTCTTCAACTTCTTGTCACTTTTGCTACATTCAATCAACTTTTTCTTCGCTTGAATCAATTCATTCACATTCGCAAGCTCTTTTGTTATCACATGACGACGTTGTTCTAATTCCTTCACTTCATCCTCAAGGAGCGATAACATTTCGTGTTGTTCACGCTTTAATGCCACTTCCAGTGCCTTGATTTTACTCTCACGTTCATCTAATTCATTTTGTAATGCACTTACAACATATTGCGCCTGTGCCGTGGTCTCATTTTCCCATAACCAACTCATGGACACTAAGCAAGTAAGTAGGTGATGATGACGTCGTCGTGGGTTGCAAGAATTAGTGTCGACCACACTAAGTTAGAAATAACAACGGTAGAAATGAAATGGCTACATATTTTTCGTACTCGAAATCGAATCAGCACCTTAACATGGAAACAGAATGTATGTTCAATAATCAGACAAAAGAATGCGAGCAAAAAAGAAAGTCAGACAGATGGCTCTAAAGCATAAAGTCTGACCTTATATTTTGCTGCATAACGTAGTATATAACCAACTAACTGTCAATTCATGCAGCATATCGTTGTTTCCAAAGCGTCGACTTTATCGTCGCATCTGGCGAGTCTCAAATTTTCGAAACCGTGAAACGGCACGATCATCACTTGCCTGATGCTTGCCAACTGTACACAAATACAAAGTAGAACACATTAGACATTCCAACGAAATATCACAATTGAACTACATATCAACACTTGTCACCTTGATGAAACCCCCGCTCACGTCGTTCGTCTACGAATAGAATAAGATCAACACCATTGTCATGAGGTACCACAATTTCCACTGCACATAGCTAAACTGCAATATCCTCTCCATACCTTTATTCATACTCTTCATCTCTGCAACGTAATCGGTCCGGTGTCGATTAAAGTCGACACTAAAATTGGCTGGCAGTCCTGAGCTTGCAAGTCCACCAATCGTATCCACTTTCACCTTTCCTACTTTACTTGCTTCCAATGCTTTTCTCGTCGCATGCTCCGTTTTTTCCAAAAACGACGTCGGTAGTTCTACCTCTGCAATGCCTGCACCTCCCATAAGCATCCCACCTTCTGTCCCATCTTCAAATCCATTGTTATCACTCGACACATTAGGTTTCAAATGATCTGGTAGTTCAAATAATCTATCCTCGGCAATTCGCAGTGCATTAGACGCATCATTAACATTGCCCTCTTCTTCATCATCATCTTCTTCTTCTTCTTCCTTTCGTATTGTTAACTTTCTTTTCCTTTGTAATCTCTCTTCAATAAACTTATTCATTAACTCTTCATGCTGATCCTTGTCAGTCGTAACACTTTGGCCCGTAAATTGTCCATCCAAAAGTGTCAATAGTTTCTGATTAGCGCATCCTTCTTTCTTAGGATCATGTAATCCATACTGATTAATATCATTGCCCTTCTTCATCATCATCATCATCTTGGTCTTCTTCTTGGCTTTTTGACTAATTAGCTCTTCCTTTAATGCCTGTTCCCGCAGTCGTTGATCTTCTCGTAGCTCTTCAATATTACGTTGAATCCTCTCTACATCCACTAAATCATTATCCTCATCTGTACACACATCCTCCTTATCGTTTAAAAGCCGACGGGACCGCTGACAACTAGCGCCATGACGCTTCTTCTTCTTCTTAAAGCTCACGTCCATTTAATAGCTTGGAAGTATTTCATTGGATAAAAACCAGATATGGGTTTCAGTGTGACGCATTTTTTTTGGACCACTTCAGTAATCTTAATAATTATTGGACATTCCCACTGCTCTCTAATGCGATGAGACAATGAAAGAAAACGGTTATTCTTACTTCACACAAAATGTTTTGCAAACACGCGAAAATTGCTCGAGGTTTTTTTTTTCAAAATAACAAACAACCGGTACAACCAATATGAAGTAACTCAAGTGTCGCAAAACAAGGTCTTGATTATGTCGTTGCCATTATTAGTGTCGCAAAGCTACGAGGGTCCGAGACTTTTGACGACATTCTCAGACTCTTTTCACATGGTTGTAAATCAACTCAAGGTCTTGGTGACTTGTCTACCAGCTGTCAAATAACGCCATTTTTCTGCGCCATGCAAAATGGACGAGGGAGTGAATGAGTGAGTGAGTGAGGTATTACCGGCAGTATGGAAACTGACTGCCTCCTTGAACCTTGAGGTATTTTAAACTTCTCTGAAGTAGCAGACGATTGAAAAAAACAAGTGAGTCAAGTCAGTCGATGATCTCATGATTCTCGCCGTCGTCTCATTAGTCAAAAATAGTAAAGAGCAGCTAGTAACGAGCTGTGGAAAAGCCAAAAGTAGTATAGCTGACTAGTCCCACTATTTGACCATTTCACTAGATGTTGGATTTAATTGACTTCAACAAGTTAGGATAGCAGTAGTTTCTATCATATGTTGTTAATCCAGTTCAATTAATATTGGCATATTATGTATTCATACAGGTCAAAACAGAAAAACACATTCACTCCAACTGCATGTATTCAGTTCATTACACCAATCTGATCAAACGATCCTCCATATCTCCTCCACTTAAATCCGACTACCTCTTTCCAGCCAGTTTGCCGTCACTACTGCATTACCAGTCCTCAGTCAGTAGCTAGTAAATAATACATCACTAGATACTAAAATGGCACCAAGACGTGAGCCATTTACTTCTTCCTCCTCTTCCTCTTCTTCTTCTTCCCCCTCTACCGCTACAGTCCTAGAACCAAGTTGGCGAGGAAGTCGATATAATTATAACTATAATCATTTTCATGCTGATGTACCAGCAATGATGGAACCGCAAAATGATGAAGGACATGTTCGTCCAAGTCTATTGGCGTTTCGACCGTCGCGAATGTTGCGAATGTCTCAACAACAGCATCAGAATACCGTCTACAAGCAACATTTACGACGTGCCGTGGATTGTAGTAATACTAGTCGTTGTCGTAGTAGAAGTAGGAGTAGTAGTAATAATGCGATGGATCGATCTACGGTTGGTACTGTACGTACATCGGATACAAGTGAAGATGATTGGTATGAAAGCAGTGACGCTGGAAGCTCCGAGACAAGTTCAACATACGTGCCATCTCCTGGTCCACAAGTAAATACGACTCGTGATAATCGATCCATTTCAACTGTTGAAGAAGATGAAGAGAAAGAAAATTACTATTTACATACGACTTGTCAGCGCCTTGATCGGACGGACTCGTTCTTGCCAATGATGGCAATGTCATTCTCTGGTCCAATACCTCTTCTTGAAAGAAAAGAGAGTGATGAAGAACATAATGAGATTGATACTATTATCTGTGATCCATCCAAACTTCCACGTACATTGATTGTGGATGAAGATGGATTTACACTATCTAGAGAAAGTGTCATGGCTCGTGCAGCTAATGTGCCACATGGAGGTGTGATCAAGTCAGGATTATTGTTCAAACAAGGTTTTGGATTACGAGCTGGTGGCTGGAAAGTTCGTTTTGTTGTGCTCACGAGTACGAAAATGACGTTTTTTCGAGAAGAACGTGGTCGTAAACGTGGCGAAATTGACCTGGCTAAATGCAGCGCCAAGAGCATTGAAATCATGCCTCGTGACTCTATCTTTGACGGCTCGCAGGCCACAATGTGGCGATTTGCAATCCGTGGCAAGAGTCGACGGATACTGCTTAGCGCGTATACGGAGAGTGATATGAAGGATTGGCTACGATGTCTTCACGTGGCGCTGGCGGTGCAGGGCTCTGGTTTTGGACGATACACGGACTTTGTAGTGCCAAATGGCACGTTCCTAGCTTCGAGGAGTGGCGGACTAATGCGGTCGTCCGGTAATTTGTAAGTCAATGAGCTGAGTGACTTAGACATAGAGCGAAGTGAATAAGCTATTGGGTTGAGCTTTACAGTCTGGAGACTTGCTGCAGCCGAGGCAACGGAACCTTTGGGCAGCTATGCGCTGCGACCTGAGTGCAAAACGCTGCATTGTAATTTATGTTGAGATCTCCGAGTGCTGCTACCCTCGTTGTCTTGCTATTTTTGTGTTTTATCAATTAGCTATACGCTGCAAAAGCTGTGCTTGGTTTACAGGGTGTGTGGAGGAACGTTGCTATGTCAGGAGCAGCATTAGAATACTTATGTTGTGCAGCTGTGTGCGCCCTCAGCGCCAATTTTTTGAGCACTTGGACGACGGTGCTAGACCACAATATGTTCGCGCAGTGTCAAAGCACTTGACCGCAGGCAGCTCGTCGAAACAGAGTCAACGCCATTGTCATTGGTCTCTTCTTCGCTGGCGTTCATGATCTCGGCATTGTAAAGTCATGTGAAGATTGAAACCATGATCAAGGCACTGCCACTACTGTATTCACTGTCAGTGAAGGTAGTCAAGGACTTTGGACGTTCAATTCTGTGTTACATTGCATGGCTTGCACATCCTGTTAAGCTGTGAACTTGTACATGAAGCCAGGCAATGAAAAGGATGTCATCTCCAGCATTGTCGAAGCTTGCCGGGTCATTGTCGCCAATGGCGGTTGGACAACCAGCTAGGTCTCGTTGCGATAAAGCATGGCAAAGCCTTTGGCTCACCAATGACCTGGTCTGTTCAATTGCATTTGCCAACATACTGGTAAGATTGCAACGTTTTGGGCTTCCATCTATCTTAGCAGCGCTACTTGGCTTCTTACCAAATGGCAGTTAGATCGGACACATGGCTTAGAGCGATAACCAGTCGACTGAGACGTACAAATGTGGCCGTTTTGACGGTGGGTGAGGTGGGTCGTTGCATGTGACAATGAATGAGATGTCACGAGCCAGTCGTCGTGTCCGCTTGGCATGAATCCTGCGTTGTTATCATGGAAGCCTTTCCATCTTTTTCGTGTCCGGTTCGAAACCACGAAGAAGTACATGTACTTGATCATTGGAAAGAGATGTTGTTGCCGTGTGGTTTTCATTCGTCTACCACACGTCAACGTTTCAAACGTTACGCAAGACACGACTTGTGGTTCACATCGAAATGATCAGTTCATCACAAGACCATTCCAGTGCTTGTCTACTCAACAATACCGCAACGACTTCAAATCTTCAGACGTTTTTCGGCACGTCCTTGCCAGTTCTACCCGCAAAAAGGGCACATTCACGAAGAGTACAAGCAAAGACGTTACAAACGCAATGGGGACGAGAAGTTCCACGGCATTTCCAGCTCACGACCCCACGCTACGTCTCACCAAGCGACGCAACACGAAATCGAGTAACCAGGCTACAATGAAAGACATTTGCCATTCCTCCAACAAGAAAAAACTCTGTGTGTCTTCCTTTCTCATTCCGTTCTTAGCGTTCACGTTTCCATTTGAGTGCTGAATGACGTATACGAGTCCGGATCAGTGGGCGTTGGCATCACCGACCACAAGTAGTAGCAGTCGAAGTAGCCAACCACAAATCCTGAGCGAAGACCAAAGCGAGGAAGCCAGCGAAGGTGATGAACACGAAGGACTCGAGACCGAAACGGAGGCAATACTCGATCATGTGCGTCAGCAGCTCACTGTTGACGTATTCATGGCTGAGGACAATCATTGCGGCACTAGCTTTCGTCTCAATGACGATGCTGTCGTCGAGCAGATTGAAAGTTTACTCGGCACGAGAGATGGCAAAGGCCGGAGCAATAACTTTAAAGCTCAAGAAAATGGAGACTTTGCAGCACGAGAAAGACTGCTGGAGACGACATTGGTCCGGGTGCTGGTAAAACTTGCAGGCGAGCAGGATAACCTTCACTTAGCTGCTACAGCAGGCAACGCATTGCTGGAAGAACTCAGTGCTGCACGAAAAGAGCTTGAAGTTTTACACGACGAATTGGAAGCTGCTCAACTTGAGTGGAATCAGGCAGTACGAGAGACACAGCGATTACGGGACGAGAATGCAGCTTTGGAGACGGAAGTACATCGCTGCAATACGTCGTCGATTTCTTGGGACTCGGAGACACAAGAGAATACGCTTGGCCATCTGCAACAACAGACACAGCAACAGGGGTCAGTGACGGTCGTTCCGTCACTGACCCCATGTGAAAGCTTTAGTCGAACAGATTCCTGTAAATGGTGCGCGTCTCGAGAAGTCGAAACGACAGAACTTGAACAGTGCATTGATGAACTTAGGCGGCGATGCTTGGAGCTAGAACTTGCTGCTGAACGCGAGCAGGAGCAACAGCGAGAGCTCATGGATGAGATCACACAATTGCGACAGCAAAGCAACGAACGTCGTCTTGAAACAGTGCGCGCACAAGAGGACCTCAAGTTCGTGACGTTGCAGCTGGAGCAAAAGCTACAGGAGGTGGAGAGTGTGGAAGCTGTACGAGACACATTACACCGCATCGCTCGGCGTCTAGAGGTCGAAAAAGAAGACCTACAAGCACGTTTAGCAGCTCGTGACGAGCTTGTCGAAGAGCTAGAAATCAATAAGGCATCTGCAGTGACGCAGCTGCAGGCATCGCAGAACCGCGCAATGAATGCAGAGGCTGCCACAGAACGTGCCAAGAAGACGGTATGTCAGTTGCAGAAACAATTGGAGGGTGCACGAGATAGCAAGGAGGCCTATGTGACGTCTTGCGAGAGCGAAGCTAGAGACATGGAGCAGCTACTGCAGGACGCAACGCGCGAAATTGCAGCTTTGCGTATAGAAAACCGAGTTCTACGTCGTCAACGTTCGTCAGAGAGTAGATCTGAAGGAAGCCGGATACAAGGTGGAAGACGCAGAACCTTGGGTACGGGAGTTCCTGCGACGACTGCTGTCGATGCATTAGCACCTGCTAGTCGAGAGCTAAAGCAACACAAACGAGCTAGTTTTAGCAGCAAAAGCACAAGTGATATTGAGGCTACCATCTCATCAAACTTCCAGCAAATACTACTAGAAATTGAGGCCGTCGCATCAAGTACAAAACCAACGGAAGTTTTGTCGAAAAGCGGGAAGGAACAACGAAAGAGGTCTTTGAGCTGGGTTGGTAAAACAGCCACGATTGTCCATGATACTGCAGCGGTGCTCAAAGAGAAGCCTAGTAGCGCACCTGTTTTGTCGAAGGAAGAGCATTGCACCATGCATGTCGACAAGAACCATGGTGGCAGCGTACTACAAGTAGGAATGGAGTCTTTCACCACGACGTCATTGGTCGATGAACACCACTCAGCACTACCTTGCCCGAGCCATGTGAACAACCACTGCACTAATTCCAATGTGCGCGTGTCCAAAAGCGACATGGAAAAATCGACCGGGCTATCGGCAATTGGTGATGGTGGAAAATCACAAGTCCTTGAGTTGCCCATTAAGGATGTAGAGAGGAAAGCGGCCGAGTTTTTACCCATGTCATCCCTGCATGTGGGTCTTTCTATCATCGCTTGCGCCACCGCAGCAACCGCGGTTGGTCTTCTAGTGCGGCGGTATAATCGATAAAATCGTGATAAGCTTATGCCGTCTCAATGCTCACATCGTCATTGTCGTCGCCTTTTACTGCTATTTCCGCGGTCGGGTCCGGTGCTTGTGTGGCCATTTCCTTTTCCACCCCGAGACACGCTATGACGCACATTTTGCTCTTCCCATGCGGCTAAAAAAATATAGGACGAATACTGCCAGTACCATTCGTACAATGTCAGTCGGTTGAGCTCATTCTAGACTGTCCTTCTCGAGAACGTGGATTTGGGACTACTATCTGCACTCTTCGGCCAACGCGGGCAATGGGTCGACGCTGCTCATCAACCCGACTGCCGAAAGTCATCGCTTTACCAATTGCTTCCCGACAATTGAGTCCACACACACCATCGCTGACTAACCGCATAGTCGGACTCGTCATCTTCTTCGCCTTTGGCATCATTTTCTCCGCACAAATCGTCACATTCGTCTTTGTGACTAGTACAGCACAACTGCTGGTCGCATTGGCGGTCAAAATTGAGGCACATCGTACGACATACATCCATGACGATCACATTCGTCACTTATACAACCATCGACAGCGTTTTCATCCGCAAAATACGCCTGGGGATGAATGGCGACTGGCTGTCGGCGTCTTGGCTGGCATGGACACTCTTCGTACTCCAATCAATCGTCATATATGTACAGGTTTGCTTCGTCCTCTTTGTCGTCGAGTCGAAGAGGGCAATTTGGCTGTCGACGTGCATTTCTCCGTCTGACAGGGTGTCCAAGAGCATCTTCACACTCGCCATTGACATAGTTCCCTTCTTCCACGTCATCCTTGTGTTCCTCGTCTTCCATGCCCCCCCACTTTATCACGCACTTTGTTGTTTTCGATTTCATCTCGTTGTCTACGATTTCGCTTTCGGGGTGGAGCTGCCCGCTTTGAAGAAATGGCGTCTCCTGCAATCACCTGCAAAACCATGCGTTGCGCGCAAAGCACACAACTCATGTCACCAGTAAAAACACAAACCCGGTTACCGTCGTCATGTGCCGCCAAGAAGTGTGTGTGGGCACCAGACTTCTTGGATATCTCACGGATAAGCTGGCCTCGACGGTCTAGCAAAGACCCACAAACTTTAGACGGCAGGAGAACCTTGATTGTAACTTTGTCGCCTTTTAGGCCAGTTGAGAAAAGACTCAAACTTTTTGGGCTCTTCGAAGAGGCCAGAAAGTCTCGCAGTTTAGCACTAACGATTCGTCGAGCGTGCTCAGCCTGTTTTAGAGTGCCTTGAACATGGAAAATACGGTTTATACTACCCAAGGGCAAGTCTTCTGCCGAAGGAAATTGTAGGCGTGCGCCTGTGCGCTCGGTAATGTTTTTGATTGTAGAGCCTTGCACACCAATGAGATATCCTGCAGCGTGGTACGGAATGGCAAAATACTGTCCATGTTTATCGTTCACCACGCTTGCTGCCACTTCAGGATGTCCGCGAGACCTACTTTTAATCTTTTCCACCGCAGCAACGATAGATTCCACAGACCCACTGAAAGTCACTCGTCGCTCCGTGGTGCCAGGAACGACGTCGTTATCGATACGGATTGTGGCGCCAGTGTCACGACGAATTGATGCTAAAATGCATCCTTGCTTTCCCATTATTTTGCCAACATCGTCACGCCGTACCATCCAGTGAAACGAGTTTGTAGTCTCCACCTCATTCTTCTTTACGGCAGTAACAGCAACGCTTATGGCTTTTGTGATAGATGCAGCAGATAGTTTAACAGGTGGAGTTACTTCCGACAGGTCCATATAAATCGGGTCTTTTTTCTCCGCTCGAAATGCTCGAATGTATGCAATGACAAGTCGTTGAGCTAAGCAGATACACCTGGCTTTTCCGTACATACGAAGCAAACGGTCATCCTTGAATAGTGAGGCCTCTGGTTTACGTACAGATAGTGTACATCCGGTTTGCTGACTAATACGCTGGATTGGCTGACCACGGCGGTCGAGCAATGCAGTTGTAGCATTGGATGGGATTAAAATATGCACTATGTGCTGAAACTCACCATCAAGCTCTGAATCTTCATACTCGTCTGGTGTCAGAAGTGCCAACTCTTTGAAAAACTCATTGGAATTCGTACATGGTACATTCCTTTGATCTTGCTTGAATTGAGATGATGGAGTTAATTCACAGTTCACAATGTGGTTCTTCTCTTGGGTTTTATGCTGCAATTCGTCAGGAATGACGTCCCTATGTATGTCAAGTGGTTCATCCTGTTGCAGTTTTGGCTTTTGTTCACTCGTGCTACTAGCGAAGTCAGCAATGGGCGAGCTCAAGACAGTAGGACTCATCTCAGACTGGATGGCTACATTGTTTAGTGTAGTATCAGTTCTACAGTTGCTGTGCAGGTGGTAGAAATGTTACCTGAATGTTGCATGTTGTTTGTGGATTGAAATGTACTGATTTCATGAGTTGTTAAATCAGTACATGAATCCATTGGTTCACGTTTCATAGACAATATTGTATGTGCTGCGTCTTCTTCTTCTTCTTCTTGATCCATTGACGTATTGTCACTTTGCTTTGATAAGACAATGGACTTTAATTCTTCGTCGTTAAGTAACGCTATGATTTCATTCTTATCATCAACTTTATCGCTGTCGAGTTCATTTGACTGATGCATGGTCGCTGGGAGGCAAAGCAGGTTGTTTGATAGGTTTTTGACAAATGTAGGAAATTCATTGAAGTAGGACAGAAGATCAAGAAGGAATGTAGCCATTTGAGGTTGCAAACGTGTCACACGTAGCCTAATATAGGCTGATACATGAAAGTACTTTTCACGTCATTAGTCTACATAAGATACACGTTTTGTCCCGATCTTGACGTGAATATACACTTGAAGGTGTAGCACGTTAGCATGCAGTTCTCACTGATCTGTCATGAGTGAAAGGTGACAATTTGGATGGTGCTACTTGTATCATGACGACGACCATGCCTCGAAGTCAAGGTCTTTTATATGTTTTATCCGTCTAACTTCGGTAGAAACAATGTGGGTTATGTTTCAGCTAATTCAAGTATCACATGTAAATCTGTCAAAACGAGAGTGCCGTGGAGATGAATAGGAGGAGTGGACTATTATTACGTGCAGTTATTAAAGCTGCATCGCTCGCTTTAGATTTATCCATCTACTAAGCTGGTTTTCTCGATCTACGGCATAAAGTATTAAATGATTACGGCCAAGTTAAGTTATATCAGTATTACATGGTCTCACTGGCTGTAAACGTTATTGATTTATTATACCTTCTCTCATTTCAATCGATACATTATCTCTATCATGAATCAACTTTATTTCGTAGTTACTTAAAACGGATATGACTCTAAATAACGTTAGAAACACCGACGTCTGAAGTTTACCCATTTGGCAGTCCTGCAGCAGCTTTTCAATCAACCAATCATAACACGGTATTAAACAGTCGACATGCGTCCATTGGCTAAAAAAGCATCTCGTATCAATCATTCCTCGCTTTACTCATGGTGCTATCTTTTCATTTCATTCATCCTACTAATTGTATCATCAAGTCATCGACCAGACTAAGGTTATGAATACGTGACTCTGACTACTTGCTCCCACATTCATCAGTCAACACCTTGTTTCTCATCCGTCATGACGTCAATGCGACTAAAAATCATGTTGAGAAATGTATCAAGTCACTCGTCAGTCTTATCAACGAAGTCACGCGCATTTGGTACGATTTCTACCGTTCACCAGATTGAAAATGAGCCACAATGGACTTCCTCGTGCGTGTTCAAGCCATTGAAGCGTAATCATTCGAATCATTTGTATTACCACAGTCGTAATCATCATGATGATGTAGACGAAGAAGAAGATACAAACGCTAGTGCAACATTAGAGCCAGAACATTCAGACGACACAGTAGTACCACATACAAGCTCCTTGTCGCGTGAATTTGAAAAGCCGAGGATGGATGCGAGCTTCCTTGTAAACAATTATACAGCACCAGCACTTGCTGCTGCTTATCAGGATCGAGAATATACATTATGGCTCTGTGCAGAGCTACTGAGTGAAGGCAAGTTTGATCAACTGGAAGCTGTACTGAAGCCATATCATGGTAAACTAAGAAGCTTTGTGTATCATTTGACCAAGAGCTGAACATTATACTCATGCTGCTTCTTTCTTTTCTTCTGTTTGTTTGCTTGTTGCTGCAGGCTTTGCTCAACATGAAACAAATACACAACGACAAACGCCACTCGTGAATGCATTTAACCAGCGCCATATTGAGCGTATTCGCAAGCGACTGAGCCGACTCCCACGTCAGATTACCAAAGCATACTCGGCACGAGCAGCAGTAGTCATTCCGCTATGTACATTCAAAGGCGAGCCGTCTGTGCTATTTACGTTGCGCTCACTCACTGTTGGCAAGCACAAGGGCGAAGTATGCTTTCCAGGAGGTATGGTGGATGCAACCGACTCGTGCATTGAAGGCACGTGTCTCCGGGAAATGAACGAAGAGGTTGGGCTAGCACCTACAGGTGTGGACGTACTAGGTATCCTTCGCTGTGACTGGTCGAGTGTCACGTCGATCACAGGCATTGCCGTGACTCCGGTTGTGGGCTTTATCGGCGAGATGAGTGATCAGACTGTGGCCATTAACGAAGCTGAAGTGGAGTCCCTATTTACCGTGCCGGTGCGAGACCTGATGAACCAGGACAATTGGATTCGTCACAGCAACGCCACTCCAGTCTTCACGGGCGGCCCGCACGTTATTTGGGGGCTAACAGCTTACCTGCTGGACATATGCTTATCCGAAGTTTTGCAGATCAGCAACTAAGCAGCCTGCAACACTGCTTTACTTGTTAATGCATACAAAACTCTGCAAGCAGACGTATATAGACTAAAATGACATTTACTGCTTGACGAGGAGTCGTTCGTCGTTGGAGTGCTTCGTTATTCCACTGAGGATCACAACCTGATCAATAATATCAGAGGGGTTCTAGTCACTTCTTGCTCGCCTTTTCCACAGACCGTGTCCAGTTTAAGACCAGTTTGTTTTCTTAGCACAAGCTGTGCCGGTACGACTAGGCGATCACTAGCGCAGTTGGTTTTTATCCCGTTAGCGTGGCCATCAGCGCACATAGCAGTCAACGAGTTATGTGCCTTTATAAGGCGTACTTCTGGAGCTTTGGCGAGCACATTACTGCATCGTATCGCCTATACTTCTGACTACGCTCAGTCAACTTATCCTCTCAATTCTTCGTTCTTTGCAGACTCAAAAGTGCCATCAGCCGTAGTTGTACTACAACGTTTACCTGTACGATTGCACCCAAAGACTGCAACGGTTTGCTCCTATGACGGTATTCTGGCTAGTTCAGGATGCCTGTTTGGAGTAGCAGATGCTAGTCATGATTTGGAAAGAATCGAGAGTCAATCAGATTGGAGAATGGATACTTCTGATGCAATGATCCACTACAGCAGCTTCAATGATTCGTGACTACCAACATCTACGTGGAATTTCATCCTGCTTGTCCCATTCTTCCATTGCAGCTTTATGTAGCCATTTTATGATGTCGTAAGCAAACCTGCCACTACGAGTCCCAAGGACGCAAAATATGAAGTGATGTGGTATCGTGCCGATTGAGTGCAACACTAGATGGAGACCATTGATTAATATTGACGATCGGATTGTCAACATCATCAAAAGTACATGGTAGTTTATGAGTAAAAACTCAAACATTGGCTTCTTATACGCAGTGATCTAAAATTTAGATTAAGTTTTCGTACCCGTTCCATGATGTTTATAGTTTCATATGATTATAATTTAAGCTCGTCTATTCTTCCTCTTGTTATATGGCAAATCATTAGTGCCGTCACTTACTTCAGCTGCTCTACATTTCATCGTCTTGACTTGATCACTCATTTATTGGATTATAAATGAAGTTTCGAGAAATATGCTGGTTTATGTGTGGAATGTCTTCTTTTGACAACAATAAGTAAATATCGACTTTGTGTAGCTCCTGACGCTGTTGGTAAGTATCTGTCCACAAAATTATTTATCTGTTTCTATTTGCTTGCAATCAATTGGATTGCTAGCGATTGACTGGGTATAGGACTCGCCTACAAATAGTGAGCCACAATCTACTACACTGGTATCTGGACATTAACGTACGATCTTATCGGGTGCTTTTCTTTGTCATTAATCAATACAAACGTCATTTTCACCCACGTTACGTCCAAAGAAGCATTAGGAGCAGCAACTGATCACAAACCGCAACACGACGTCGTTGTCATGTTAAGTCCCTTATGAGCTTTTGATATTAGTGGCTACATTATCTTTTACCTTGTGTCGCAACATTTCTCTTTCTATTGTTACTAATCTGATCTAACTAACTGTTTACTATACTTCAACTCAATACAACGCAAACAGGTGCACATGTCGCATCTATACTCCCGATATAACAGTAGATGATGGTCTTGTAACGATTATGCAAAATGTACAATAGAAAGGACAATAACGGACGTAAAAACTGAAGCAAGTGAACCGTCTCATATTGTCATGCAACTGAATCACGTCACTATCTGTCAGAGAGCTCCCAACACTTGTAGAGAACAGAATCGTTTTGTTTTTTCAACTTGCATTTACAGACAAAGTCTCGTCCCAGGGAAACAATGCCAATGGCTCGAATTTCCATGCGCCGAAGTCCGTCGCCATGGACACGCTCGCGTCGCCTCGTAAGCAGTGCCAGTAACTCGAATGCTGTGGATATTGAAAACTATCAGGGTACAATCTACTTTGCTGATATTGTAGTCGACGGGTCAACGTTCGTGGTGCAAGTAGACACAGGCTCATCGGACTTGTGGATCTCTTGCTACTATCTCAGCGGTTCTACATGCAATTCCGCATGTCCGTCGAATGCCAGCACCATCACATACGGTTCTGGTGACGTTTGTGTACTTGGACAATCCGCTGACATTAAGTTTGGCAACGTGGCCTTGTCGAATTATGTCGTGGGAGTTGCACAGGGTCCCAACGTCAACCCCAGCAACTCTAATTCGCTGCTTGCAGGTGACGCTGAAGGGCTCTTTGGATTAGCTTATAGCTCTCTTGCTACACTGCCATCACCAGGTGGACAATTTATTGACTACGTCACGAGCTTCTCCATGTATCTGACCAAAGAGGACAACAGGGAAGGCAGTTTCTTACTCCTAAATGGCGTGGACGACGCCTTCATCGATTCGAACGGCCTCAAGCCATACACTATCAAGTTGAAATCGGCCACACCGACTCACTGGACAATCGGTATGACAGCGTTTCAGATTGGCAACAGTACAGCGGTATTTCCGTGCTCGACAGCAAGCAAGGGGAGCTGTGACAGTATTGTAGATTCTGGTACTTCGCTACTCGCTATGCCTGCTTCGGTCTATGCGGATTTTGTACGTATGTACTTGTCCAGTTGCAATTTGTACTCATCCGGTTCCGCCATCTACATGTGCTCTAGTGATGTAGAGCTACCACGACTTGCACTTACATTTGGTGGCGTGACATTCTATCTCGAGAAAGACGACTACATTATTGATGTAGGAGCCAATATGATCGTGGTGGAAGTACAAGCAACGTCAGATAGCGGCACATACGCTAACACCTGGATCATTGGCGAGACGTTTTTGAAGACGTTCTACACGGATTACAATGTTAACGAGTCGGTGACATTCTACTGCGTTGAGAACAGCACGTGCACTCCTGGATCTCAAGCAGTCGCTTTGCCGGCATCGTCGGATTCTTCTGGTGACATTACTGACGGCAACGGGTTCAATGGCAATAGCGACGGCAGTATTTCCAGTAGTGGTGAGGTCAACAGCAACCTCACGACGATCCTGGCCATTGTGCTTGGTGTACTGGCCTTCCTTTTTACCATATCGATCGTGACATGTCTGTTTAAATGCATCTGCAGACGCAAACGCAACTCCAGGCATGAGCAATCGTTGCAGCCGGTGATGGTCATACCTGGCAGGAACTACCAGTCGCAACCAGTCGTCCTCCAGCCTTCCCAAGGTTATTACACTCGGTATTAAGACGTGAAAGTGTTGGTGATCGAAGGAGAGCACGTAAGCTCATGTAACATGATAAACTATTGACAGTATCGGTTTGTAAGCCTTTCAAGCTATTGATCTACAGCAACTACAAGTTTGTACTTGTACGTCACCCGACATTACTTGACAAGTTGACAGAGCTAGCGACAACAATGCTAGATTGACAACCAGGGTGATGGGAACAGGCTTCGAATTGATCTTAGACGGTTTCAATCGAGTTGAGCGACAGTATGAATACACCTTTGTGTCAGCTAGCGTTGCGACGGAAGGGTTGGATGAAGCGTGCGAATGGTGTGCATGAAAGATCAGTTCAATTGGCCCGCTTCGTTGGCTAATGCAGCGTTGCTATTGATTCTGTGTGCCAAGGAATATCTAAGCTGATCAACATGAGGTCACAGTCAAAACATTCTGAAAGCGTCAGCGGTTAGTCATGACGGCAAAAGTCAAAGTGTTATACTCTAACACTGTTTTGACTAGTGACTGTGGTCATTAGAGCACCGCACAACTACAAGAGCAGATCAAAAGGTGGACGGACACTCAGCGGCGGATTCTGGATAGGGCGTTTGATTACAGGAGATACTTGAACTGTTTCCAACGATGTCATACCCATTTCAAGTCCTGATCGTAAAAACGTTAAGACTTATCACCACAATTCCAGATCTAACAAGGTTCTGTCTGCTCGGAAGAATGGAAAGAAAGGTGAGATTGTTATTCAAAACAATGAAGTAGAAGCTTCTCGACGTGTCGGAACTCGCCACTGCTACATTTGGTAAACGAAGACGTCAGAGACTCTCACGGCGTATTCTCAACCTTTACTCCATCACCCCCACCTTGCGAGATGAAGGAATGTCCTTTACACAACGAAAGCCCACCATTGGCGACCGATCGTACCCTTCACTGATCATAAGAAAACGGTTATGGTACTGAGCACTCAAAGCTTGTGGGAAGTACCAATTCGGATCACTATGTGTCGCTGCAATCGGGTAGTACCTGCTTCCTCCTCGAAGAAGAAGCCCACACGTATGAGCATCACAAAATTGGTCCGTCATTTGCCACACGTACCCGACAAGGTCTTCCACGAGAAATTTGGATGAGCGAGAGGTCTTGTACGAGCCCACAGGACTCAGCGGAGGCAATTCCTTACCATGAGAGGTTTTCGGTAGTTTAGTTCTGTCTAAGTCCGATCCCCACGGATAAATGTCGTAATTGTCTCCGTTCGAAGCGACATACTGCCATTCCCAATCATGCGGAAGGCGCTTGCCATAGAAAGCAGCGTAAGCCTCTGCATCCTCGCGGGCAACATTTACAATGGGACTTTGCTCCAAACCAACAGGAATGCTCCATGATGCTGGAGAACCTGAACGATTGTTCCAATGCAACAAGAAGCGGTCCAATGACTTGGGAATGTAACCACTTGACTTAAGGAAAACTCCGTATTGCGCGTTGGTCACGGGATGTCTGTCGATCATAAAGTCCTGGATGAGCAATCGCGTCGAGTGGTTGTTCCAAGGACGGGTCTCCCATGGAAATTGCACTCCTGTTCCGAACTCAGCGAAATTTGGCGTCCAAGCTTTGACAGGCTCAATCTGTACGCCGCTGACGTTGAACCACCAGTTTGAAGTCCCAGATACACGCACCATATCATCGAGGCTCGATTCATTTTCTGAAGCTCGTTGTGCTCGAGCGAACAAGCTGCTGCTGAAGCAAGTTTCTTTCCGTAGAGTATGCTGACAGTGGCTTAATGGTCATGGCTCGCATCTTTTCAAGAAATTGATCCAAGTCGTCGTTAGATTCGCTGGACTTTGTAACGTAAATCGCGCCAAATGCGCCAGGTTCTAGAGTCACTGTCACGACCAAGCCAGACGTGCTGTTTGCGCCTGTTTGTTTCTTCAATTCTACTCCGTGGTAGACATCATACACGTGAACATCGTTTATAGACTGCTGGTCAGTGAGCACCAAATCAAATGTCATTTCCTCATCTACAACGCTGATCACTGTGTAAAGCGTTTCCTCACTTTTTTGAAGATAGAAGGCACTAGCAAACAACCCATCGTCTTTCATCACATAGTAAGGAGTCCAGAGTCCAGTTGAGACAATGCGTCCAAACTTGCGAAGGATTGCAAACATTCTCTTCGCCATCTCATCTTCGCTCTCCGTCATGGCGTTCCAAATACCCCACACATTCTCCCATACGACGTAACCTGCCCCATTAAAAAAAGCTGTCAGGAGTTCAACTCTTCTGTCAAGTGACCATCGTGCACAGATTTGTACCATGTGTCTAGATTCAAGAAATTTTGCACGCGCAACTGGTGGAAAGTGTGAGTAGCCAAAAAAGTATCCCCAACTCATGGGATTATTGCTCAAATATGCTGTCGGTACTCCACCCTCTGGCGTTGCAACCAATGGTTTCGTACAGTTGTAAAAAGACTTGGGGACACCATACATGGTATCACCATTGAATCCATCAGCTTCCAAGTCGGAAATAACTTGATTCAGTGTCGTAATGTCTGCTTGATACATCCGAACCATGTCTTCAAGTCCAGTTTCATCACGAGTGCCAATATCCCATGGATTGTATGGAATGATAACTCGAATCCCTTGACGATGAAAATCCGCAATCACTGTCTTCACACCGTTGATTCCACCTGGAAGATTACGTAGTAAATCCCATTGATTTCGATCATCAATGCCAATATTGGGGTATCCAGACCAGAGAAGGACACTATCAATTGTACCAATGCGTTCTTGCATCTTTTCCACGTATTTCTCGACGGTATATTCCTGTTTCTCTCGATCATAAATGTCACGGTCATTCATCATGAGAAAGACTTGTACAAAATTCACTTGAGTCCATTCAAGGCCTTGAATATTGTATACATTACACAAATCGTTTGGAGAATACCGATTACTACCAAGTTCCATGGTTTTCCAACTTGTCCAATTTGTACGCCATGATTCAAGACTTTTCGAGCTTTCTGGACCATTAATTACTTCGTAACCGTCAGGTTGGGCATCCCATCCATAAATCACTTGATCTAAGACACCAAATAGTATTATAAAATAGTAGTAGACTATCATGAAAAGACGCATTTTTGTGGAACAAAAGAAGGGGATGCGAGACTTTGAAAGACTTTAAATGACCAACAATGGGTACTGAATGTCTCAAGATGGTCAAGCGTCGAGTTAGAAATTATAGTTAAAATTCGATTGCTTGATATCAGTACAGAAATGCAATTTGACTTGTTTGGTAAAAGGGATTGGAGGAGCGATTAGTAAGTGTGGTAGGATTTAATGCTGGGTTTAGTATGCTGCATATGTAGTACTTGTATTGTAGTACTATTATTGTCATCCTCGTGGATGTGAGAAAGTACGAGTATTGGACGTGGTAGAATCAGACTGAGATGTACTGTGAGAATTAATACTGGTCTAGTAAATGGAGGGATGACCATTATACGATGTGCAAGAGAATCTGGAATGTCCGACGATGGACAACATTATGATATGGTCTTACTTTATCTGCTCGTGATATATATATTAGACCAATCACAATTAACAAGACTTTTTTCGTTACTTAGTACAAAACATCTAGAAAAGAATTTTTGAATTTTTGCCAATAGTTCACTTACTTAAGCGTCACTTTGTTCCCCTCGTGTACGTATTGACGATACAAAACCTCGTGCCAATCCATTGGTGGGCCACGAAAGGCCACACACAAACAATTGACACTCGGTCGCATCAGCAAGCAATCAACAACAACATTCGAAACAATTAGACACCACGACCATTCAATTTTTTAGAACCCAAGCAGCAATCAATCCATTCATCCGGCCCTCTAAATAAAAGCTCTAAAAAAGTGGTAGGATTATTTCTATTTCTTGATTCTTGTAGTAATTATTAAATAGTATGGTCTGGGGCGATCTTTAATGTCGCATTCCAAAAACTGTGCTATTTATACCTGACATATGTTATGGTATCTACTACCTACTAGTACTACTTTAGTATGTCATGTGAGACGAATACAAAATGGCTACATGATACTAACCTATATGGATACATGTTATATTGCTGTAGATTGCATCAACTCTAGGAAACTACAGTCACTCTATCTCTCTCTCTATATATATACGACGTAGTAGTGGGATAGTATGGGTATGGCATGTGAGATCAAGAGTTGTACAGTAACAGGTGAACATGAGGTGCCATTGATCAAGACTGGAGACAATAATCACCTTGTGTTTACTCATATTCAAGCAAATGAAGGGACCAAGATCGAATCTGATACTTGTAGTCTTGATCCGAAAGAAACAGCAATGATACTCACGTGTTTAAGTAAAGGTTATTCTGATACTAGTGGTGCTATGACGACAACGTCCGGGAGACATTCTGATTCGGATGGAGAGGATATGGATGGTGATGAGTGTTTATCAGATGATGACGATGATATGATTCAACGTCGTCAATTCCCCTCTGGTATTGGCAAGGTGCATCACGTACATCAAATTCATTTTGATGGTCCAAAAGGAAGTAAACTTGACTTTACGGATGATGCTGGTTTCAGTCATCGGTTTAGAAATGAAAGCAATCGTGTCAAGAGTTTAGTGACCAAACACATTTCGATCGAGGAACTTCGTGCACACTTTGATCGACCAATCATTGATGTGGCAAAAGACTTTGGCATTTGTATTACGCTCATGAAGAAAATTTGTCGTCGTAATGGTATCAAGAGATGGCCGCATCGTCAAATTCGGTCACTCTCCAAGAGTATTGCGTCCATGGAGGCTGCTATGCTTAGTGCACATGGAAGTGAGCGTGATAAGTACCGAGATCAGATTATGAGTTTGAAGATGAAGCGCGAATCCGTCATTGCAGACCCCAATAAGGACAACTCCTTGCGTCATAGGATATCGCCACCACCTTCTATGGTTGGTGATAGCACACACCAAAGTATGTGTGCTTCTCACCACGTTCCTTTGACCCTAAAACTATCTCCACGGCCTGTTCATGACACTCATGTCTCTTCATCGAAGACTGGCGTCCCAGTCACACCGATTCAAAAGATTGAAAACTTGGTCGTAAGTACTCCTAGCACGTCCACGACGGGTTCCTCAAAGGGTGGACGTTGGACCAGTGAAGAGCATGCTGCTTTTCTAGAGGGCATTCGCTTGTACGGGAAAGACTGGCGACGCGTTGCACAAGTGGTCAAGACACGCAGTGCTGTGCAAACGCGAACTCACGCTCAGAAATATTTATTGAAATTTGCTGGGCGTTCCACGTTTGAAACTGATGGAGCTTCGAATGGTAACCATTTACTGGCACCGATGCAAATGCAGTGTGCAGTAGCTGACAAGCCCGTTCTTTCCATGCTCAGTCCAGCATCGCGTAATGCACTTTCGACCCCTGCAAGTGACGATAGCATGACCAATGAATCTTGGAACACGGAAGAGGGTCAACCTTTAGCAAAGCACGGAGAGGCTATGGCACTGATTTTGAACGGCAGTCCACAAGTGGAACCAGATGTAGCAGGACCTATTGGAAACAATACCGAGGCTACGACGCTATCCCCGCTACCGTCTCGCACAACGACGAGCCTGAAGCAGTCTGCAACAACATTTCACCAGCAGTCAACAACAATAGCAGCAGCAGCAGTTCCCGTATCCTACTCGTATTTTTCTCCGCAGCAAAATGCTTCGTGAGAAGCTAAACTGCTGTCATATGATACCAATTTTGTTTCTGCAGCTGTAAGGACGTGTCACGTGTGAAGAAAAGTATAGACAACAACAGTCAATCAGTCAGTCAGTCAGTGCTCAGAGTGTAGAACTTTATCATCAGCTCAAGGACAAAACAACAACAAGAACAAGAGGGAAAAAAGACGCTTTAAACGTCAATGACCATCAACTGAAGACTAGAAAAAAAATGGCTATTCTTCTTCCTCTCTCTCTCTCTCTCTCTCTCTTCTTCCAATAATAATAAGAAGAAGCTATAAAAGCAGAACTCCATCCAGCCATCCATCTCGTGTCTCTTTCTACTGTTGTTTCGCTTCCACTTCCTGGACAAGTTTGGCCAATTCTTGGGGATTGTAAAGCATAAAATACTTTTCAATCTGTGGCAAATAATGCACTTTCCCCTTGACAAGATTAAACCAATAAAGGTACGACGCATCATTATGGGACACACCAACGGTTCGTACATTATAAAACGATGGCACGAGAATTGGGTCATCTTTTGTATTGCCCTGTGTCTCATCGGATTCGAGAGGATCACGATTAAATTGAGCAATCCCCATTTCAGCAGCTTCCAATTCTTGACGTTCACGACCAACGGCATGTTCTAAATCATTAGGAATACCACCAGTAGAAGCATAATGACGGATACTCATACGAGAAGAAAAGACACGAAGGGGTGTCGTCCACACACGCAGGAGGAGACTCATAAGTCACGATTTGTGTCTTAGTCGGTGGATTCAGAACTGAGCTTGTGGTTGGAACGGACTGGTGGTAAAATTGAGTCTTTTGCGACAAAAAGACTCAAAATATCGACGTTATGATTGGTAGATTAACAATGTGATGCGGGTGCATGGGACAGACGGGTGTGTTGTGACCCAAATTTGACACGAAAAGAGACCAAATTGACAAACAACCAAGTGCTCGACTCGATGCAACTAGACACAACAAACCAATCGAGATTCCTATCAAATGAACGCTCCATGAGATGTACAACACTGCCTAATCCACTGATATAATCTCCACACTCGTAGTATCCTTCAATTGCTCCTTGTCTGTAGACTTCAATGGTGATTCTTGTGATTTTGAAAGCGTTGAGACCGAATCACTCTGCGTGGCTTTCTTAAACCACGAATCGATTTGTTTCGGCAGTTTTGCTGGAGATGGCGATGAAGCTGAAGCTAAAGCTGTGGACTTTGCTTTCGTCCTTTGTGTCTTGGTCTTTGGCGGTGTGACGTCTACTGCAAATTTCTGGGACACTGCTTTCAGAAGCTTCTTCGTCTCTCTCGGAGCTGCTATCTTCTCCGCACTTAATGGTACTGCAGCAGCCTTCTTGACCTCATGCATCGTCTTTTGCTCTTCGAGTTCCGTAATTTCTGCTGCTGCTGTTCTAGACGCATGGCCTCAATCACCTTTTGCTCTTCTTCATATTCACGAGCTTTTCGCAGTAAACTGGACTCAAATACCGGCTCGACTAACAGTTCACCAACAAGCCCAGGAAAAGGACCATCCGTTTGGTTATCGCTTTCGTGGTGGACAAACCAGAACGGACCAATGATCTGAGGCTCTAACTTTGCTGGTTTGACGGCTTTTGCCTTTACCCGCTTCTGCTGGAGCTGCGAAGGTAGCTTGTGTTTTGTCGGTGACGATGGTCCTTCACCGCGCCCGGTCAGATCAACGTCTTCTCCAGCGTCATCCATATAGTCCACCTCATCCTCATAAGCTAACCACTGGTCATCGTAGTCCAAATTATCCTCATCAGACTCGTCAACGTCATTCTCATCATCTGACAAGCTCTCACCAGGTTCTTCCTCTTCCCACTCATCATCACTATCGATAGTGTAGTCAAACTTGGGATGTCGTATGAATGGCCGGCGGCCGCCATGGAATAGCCGGCTTCGTGTGCTAAAGGTACCATAGTATGCTGGCCGATTGTTCTCGTAAAACTGTAGTAACTTCATCACACCCAACTTGGGGTCGCAATGGCGCCGACCACTCCAGCTCAGAGCAGAGTGTAGGTCTGCTTCTCTTGTCCCATTTCGTTTGTGCTTCAGTGACGAGAAAACTGACTGATGCGGGAGAAAGACGGCTTCCGAGGTTGACGCAGCCCCAGTACAGCTCAAGAAACTAATTGTTGCATCCATGCGAGCAATCTTTGTACTATTGTTTTCCACGGGGTCAGCAGTCTTCTCTGCATTCTGGTCACCTTTCATATCCACGATGTCTCGAGCGCCATTTGCTGCAGCAGCTGCAAAAAAAGACTTGAATTTCTTTTGTGCCTTGAATGACTCGAGCTCCTTCTCCTCCACTTCGCGGTCACGTTTCCGTTTCTCCTCACTCTTCGCCTCCTGGCGCTCTAGATCAAGCCGCTTTTTCTCTTCAGCAGCATTACGTTTCTCTAGCTCTTTCGCCTCTCGATCCTTCGCCTTTCGTAATTCAGTAGCCACTACAAGCCCAAACTTTCCAACTTTTGCCTCTTCAGCACTCACTTTCGTCTCATCTACAGGCTTCTGATGCAAAAGTTGGACCACCTTTGCCAATGCTTTCAATTGCTGCCCAAGACGCTTGCGATGCTTGCGCATACGCTTAATCATCTTTTGTGCTTCATCTCCAAAGTACTTTTCTAAGCTGCCGACCTCCCACACCCACAATGCGGCGACGCTAGTGTCTTCATAAACATTGGCCTTGGCAGGACGAACACCGTGTGGTGTGCGTTGTGCCAGCATCTTGATCTCCATTTCCATCGCCAGAAATGCCGCACGGTCTACTGTATCAGTATCAAATCCACTCTTTTTCGTTATTGTGTTCTTCCTATCCACATCATCTGTTTTCAATCCTTTCTTGAATGCAGCAAGTAGCTCTCCACACACCACTGAAAGACTTGCAGACCGCCCCTGAATACCTTTGACGATCAAACACTTAACTTCGTGAGGAAATTCGACAATGACAGGCGTTACAACTTTGTCAACAACGTTCAAAGTGGCAAGCGCTTGATCTCGAAGCTTCTGCCACGTCGCAGTCAATGCTTCTTGCGCTTTGTCCAAATCAACAATAACGTCCAAATCACAATCTAGTCTAGCTCCATAAATGTCTTGCATAACCGCATCACTTTCGTGTTTAGAAACCAAGAGCTCCGAGTACGTTTGTGTCAACTCGTCTGTCTTCATCTTGTACATATCAACACGAGCCTGAACAACGGGATCTAATGGCTCCACAGAAGCAAGTTTAGCTATCACAACAGCAGATGCAGCATTTTCTTGCATCTTTTGCTGTCGTTTCGTCATGGTCTTGTTTATCACTTTGCTATTCTTCGTCACAGGTGTTTCCACTGCTTTCGGCCGTATTTTCTTCTTGTCATCAGGCTTTGTTGTTACTTTAGATGCTGCTACTGCACCTCCTCCTCCTCCTGCTCATCTACTGACATTCCTGAAATCAACTCAACATCAATTGTCGTGTCTTCTTGTATATCGTCTCTTGTCTCTGTGATTGCAGCAGTCGTATCGTCACTAATATCCACAATATCTTCCATATTAACAATCCTGTCGTCTGAAATTAAAGCTCCAGGAGGCACAAGCTCTCCTCCATCTGATTCTAATTCTGCTCGTGCTCTTTTAGCTTCTGGTGTATGAAAAACATTGTCATCTTCATCTTCTTCTTCATCATCATCATCATTTTCATCAAGAGCCACAGCATGAGGAGAAATAAACCGCTTGAGCTGTTGTTTCTTCTTCTTTAACACGTCACAGGACGCCTTTGTCTTCTCAGGTTTAACCTTCATTTTGCGTATGCTTTTAGCCTTTTTTTGTACTTGTAACGTTTTAGCCTGGTTTTTATCCTCCATTTTAGCCATAACCTCAAATTGTGCACCATCTGATACCACTCTGATTCTCTTCTCTCCCATAAGGTTCGGCCGTTCTGATTCCACCACGGTATCATCTGATTCCTGGCCATAGTTTGTCGGTGAAAAGAATGTATTGATTGTCACTTGTTTTGACCCTTTTTTCGACTAAAAACGACCCAAAATTAAAAAAAAGAACAAAAAAACATGTATACAAACAATTAGCATACATATTTTAAGCTAGTAATTTGTATAGCCATGGAATGCCTGGAGAATGAATCAAGAATAATCAAGAGAGAATCGAGGTACAAAGCAATTACAAACCTCGGTCATCTTTGCTCTAATTTAGAGTAATTTGAGAAAAGCGTCGAGAGAGAGAGATGAATGAAGGAAATGATACTAATACTTTTTCTCTATCTAACCTCAGTCCTATGCTTTTCGTATAGTATTAGTCCTATATTAAGGCGAGATTGTCGTGATCCCGCAATAGAGTGACATCTTACTACGTTAGAGTGAAAAACTATCTATAAAATAGAGAATAGAGCTCAAAAAAACTTGGACAGTTCATACGTTTTCATTTTTAACGTTTTTATTACTACGACTGACTATCACTGCTTTTGACGTTCACTCTCATGTAGCAACCTCTTTATCGTTCACATTTCGTGTTCTAAATAACAAATTACCAGCTTCCGGATAAAATTTGAGCACCACAAGGCAGGCGCTCAAAGAATGATGTTTCAACATTCTTTCTTGCCATAAACTTCAGTGGTCGTGTCTTCAACATTGAATGAATGATGCACAGACTTTGTATCGTCCATCATCCAAGACAAGAGCCATTCGTCATATCCATCACACACCCTATCATGCATGTCCTTGGGTATACGTGTCAAGGTGGAACATTGCCATAGAAAAGCACCTTGAATCCCTCCGTGGCCGCTTAATTTGTGATGAAACTTGAACGGGAACTTCCAAACTTGGGTGCTTCACCCTCGACGACGTTGTTTTCAGCTGCATTTACACTCTCATGGGCATCCTCAATCAAGACCTAAGCTTTGAGTGTTTTGAGGAGACGGTGGTAAACTAGTGGCTGAGGTGTTATCAAACGTCGCTTTGAATGCTGCTGCAATGGTTGCAATTGGTACAGACGGTATGGGAGTTGATGGATGTGCACCTGCAACGGGTTCAACGGGGTGGAGTGAAGTCGAGTGCATTGCGATTGGAGCTGCTATGGATGTTATTGAAGCTTGCCACGGATACTGTTGCAAGGACTCTCGCGCATCGTTTACAGCATTGATCGGTGGAGCTATGCCAGTGCTTGTGGTACAAGGTAACGTCTGGGCTGTTGACACGCTTGCAGTGTTGGTACCATCATAGATAACAGGTTTCGACATTGCCGCTGTGTTCTCTGCTATACCGCTATTGCCACCAGACTCCTCTGCAATCATCGACTGCTCCGTTTCTACTTGCACCTTTCTAGCTTCAGCCACCTTCCTTGCTTCAAGCACCTTTTCTCGTTCCAATTGCTGCAATCGTGCCTCCTCGTTAATGTAATATTCCTCAACCTCAGTCATCTGCGCTTCAAATTCCTCCCGTGACACGAAGCCCCGTGAGTATATGCGTCTCTTCTTGTTGTCGCAAAGTTCCTCTGCAATGCGATTCATGACCTTAGTATAAGAAGCATCAATGTCAGCTGTAACATCTCCAATATACTCTTTCCACCTTTTTCCAGCGCTCTTCGCGTTGCTCTCTTCTGAGAACGAGCTGGGGTCTTCTCCGTCCTCAGCAGAGCTTGCCATTTCGACATCCTCCTCTGCTACTACTTGGTCACCCTTTTGTTCTTCATTTGTTTCAGCGACTGAACCATCTTCAATGGCTTCACCCTCTTCGAGTGAACACTGCAGAGCCTTCAAATACGCTAAATATTCACTGTTATGTCTGGCATGCTCTTTGTCCAGCTCACTGTCATCAATCATCGAGCCAAGCTCGCAGTTCCAGCAGACATTCTCGTCACCATTCTCCCTCGCACACTTCTTGTGGTAGTATTTCGTGCAAGTGGGGCAGCGAATTAGTCTAGAAGGAATGCCCTTTTCCTCACACAGCTCACACATTACCTTCGGTGGATGTGTACGTTTACGCTCACCATGAAGCGTCAAAACATAACCAGTTCCATTTCCAGACACATTTCCAGTTGCGTAAGACGTAGATCCGCCTGCTTTGTGAGCTTGCTCGTTAGCCGGTAAAATCTGTTGCTGCAGTTCCCCCTTAGCCTCTGTGACGCATGGAGTTGATATAGAAGAACTTGCGTCACTATCCTCCAAATCACTCAAACTCGCGAGATCCACTACATCCAGCAATTTCAGCTGGGACCGGCTTACTTCATCAAGACCATCGTCTTCCTCCTCGTCGTTATCACCACACTCGCGCATAAATTCCAAGAATTCGGGGCTGCAGTATCCCAAGACAGGCGGCTCCACAGGAGTCATTAGATGCGGTGCGTTGGCTCTGACGAAAAACATCCCATCAGCATCGAAGGAAGCATTTATTCTAGAAGGCGACGACTTTTGATGCCACTGTACCTCATCTGACCGTCGAACTTCTCCATACTGCTTCTTTCTGGGCAATAGTAAATAAGCATTGTCATTTGCTTGAGCCCGATCAGAATGTACCATCGGCCCACAAGATGCTTTTGTACCAGCTGGGTGTGCGGCAATAGTAGACTGTGGCGTAATTGTAACAGAATCTGCCATTTTTGACATTGTTCCACTTGTCGTTGTTGCCTTTGTAGCCAAAGATGTGGATGCCGAAGAATTTTTCTCTGCGGCAGCAGGTTTCGGTGAAGCGTCTGTTGCCGACTCTTTGCATTGCACTGTTAAACTTGATACTGAGCTCGCTTGACTTGGTAACGACATCACTTTAGCAGGTAAACCCGCCAATACCTTGGAAGGCGCTTTCACAACCAAAGGTGGCAGCTTTGCTGGTGTGGGTGGCAGTGCTGCTGACGCCACAGACGCTTTTGATTCCGAGTGAGGTACACTCGCACTTGAAGCCGCAAGCGCCGATGATGCAGGTGTTGTAATTGCAGACATTGACGCCGATGATGCAGGTGTTGTAATTGCAGGCAGTGACGACGAATTCGCAGGTGTTGTAATTGCCGACATTGACGACGATGTTACTGGTGCTTTGACTGCAGACACTGACGACGATGTTACAGGAGCTTTGATTGCAGACATTGACGATGATGTTGCAGGTGTTGTAATTCCAGACATTGACGACGATGTTGCAGGTGTTGTAATTGCAGGCAGTGGCGACGACGTTGCAGGTGTTGTAATTGCAGGCAGTGACGACGATGTTGCAGATGCTGCTATTGCAGACATCGACGACGATGATGCAGATGTTGTGATTGTTGCAGCTGTTGTAACTGCAGACATCGACGACAACGTTGCAGATGTTGTAACTGCAGACACTGGCGACGATGTTGCAGGTGTTGTAATTGCAGACATTGACGACGATGTTGCAGGTGTTACATTTGCAGGCATTGGCGACAATGTTACTGGTGCTTTGACCGCAGGCATTGACGACGATGTTGCAGGTATTGCTGCATCTTTCGTCAAAGCCGGTACCTGCGGAGCTGCAGACTTCGACGGCAATGAAACTGTATGAGTTGCGACAGAAGTCGTATTCGTAGGTGTGCTAGTGGCTGTAGCTGCAGTTATCGATGATGCGACCGTCGTTTCTTTCGTTGGACCTGCCACCTCCTCTGCATCATCATCCCTAACCTCAATTCCTCCAGTTGGTCTCACTGACATTGATGATGCTCCATTAGTAGCCGCCATTGTTTTCGGAGCTGGCGGGTGACTTCGTCTAGCCACTGCCAAGCCATCAAAAATCGTGACAAAATCCGACGCTTGAAACTCAACCAACTCAAACACACGCGACTGGAAAAGCAAATTATTCTCTTGTTTGACTTCATCTTGTTCCACCTCCTTCTCTTCCGTCCGTGCACAAGTCGCAACAACATCCGACGTTGTTTTTACACCATTCGTCGTTACAACATGACTCGTTTCATGCTTTGTCCCTGTCATTGCTGCTACTTTTTGATTCTTGTCACTTTCTACCATTTCAATTGGTCTTGACTCTCTTGTTTTCACCTCCACTGATCCACATACCGTCAATGTCTCTTGAGTAGCTACATCTAAATCATTATCTCTTCTTTTTGACGTGACAGTAGAACTCACAATCTCATTTCTTGCTTGAAAGCCTGTAGATTGTTGGTTTTTCTTCTCGGCTTGATTTCTCATGGTAGCAACAGTCTCTTTAATGGATGGAAAATGGTTTTCCATGAAGATCACGGTAGGAAACACACGACTTTGAAAAAAAACCGTCTCTTCATCATCACCATCATCTTCTTCTTGTTGTTCTTGGCCTTGTTTTCTGTCCTTTTCGTGATCACATTGTTGCATATCCACGTTGTCATCATCATCGTCATCATCATCATCGTCATCATCATCATCATCATCGGAAATTAAATTGATTACGTCAACCTCCTTCTTTTCCAGTATATTTATGGTTTTAGGTTGGGTTTTATTCATGGTCTTAATTTGATGGAATTTGCGTTTTTTATCCAATGAATGCACGCAATTTTGTTTTATTGGGTTTTTTGGATTAAATCCACTTAAAGTGTAGCCATGCGCATGACCGGATGGATGCTTTCGGGAAGAGGAGGAGGCGGAGGAAGTAGAAGTATGCAACATGAGCGTCTTAGAGCGACACGTGTCACAGACTTGTTGCTTAGAGCTAAAATTAAGACAGCCACACTCACGGCACGTTACACCTTGAACACCTTGCACCATAAGTCCCACAATGTGAGTGGAGGAGTGTGGCTTGTGTCGGGAACGTCACGCTGATTGGATAAAACTAATGCAAAAATATAGCCATAAAAAAGCACTTTTTGGCATGGGAACTTACTTCACTGTCTGGTCTTATCAGTAAATGCTCAGTATACTGTCTCTCTCCTCACCACAAACAGGTTTTTTATGGTATCAGACTGGTCATATATAAAAAGTGCTTTCTTACAGCTTAATCAACCTCGTAGGAAGGATATTTGACACTACACGCAGTAGTGTTACTTTGCGTCCGAGCTGAAGTGATTGGTTGATAATTAGCTCAGGAAATAAATATAGTTTGTCTAGGATGTTCTAGGATGTAGATATTAGTAACCAAGTGGTACAAGGTTACCAATAAGTGCTGTAGGTCGAAATCCAACACTCAACTATCAACTTGATCTCAAACATTCGTATTCGTTCGTATCCGAACAAGTTAGAAAGCTGTTTCGAGAACGCGATTCCATGACTCGAGACATGTTGTGTCCGTGTCGAAGAGACATGGGAGAGTGAGTAACTGCAACAACGCATCATCTGTATACACAGCATAATCTTGTGACAACTTGGACGTGGCACATACGTTTTGGTTTGAAAGTAAACACCCGCATCATCAACACTGGTCCTTGCAAATGAAGATCAAAGATGTTCAGACGTACATACATCAGGTTCTGCTCTTTTGAAAAGTTTGAAGATGGCGTAGATAGCGAGACGAGGATTTCGTTAGGAGAGTATTCTTTAGCTCTTGATCTGTTCTACTTCGCGTACAGGAGACAAATGCCAGCTTCAGGCTTTTTGTCAGATAACCAGTCTGCCATTGACGACAGTCTACTAGTGTCATCTTAGCCTTCAAAGCATCATCAAAGACGATGTCGAAAGTCAAAACCTTTGCCTTGTCGACAAATCTTAATCGTAAACTGCGCCCCTTACAAATAGAGAGTACCATCTTTAAGCTGTACCATCTAAGTCGGTGGGAGGAGTCCAGTCACCTTGTCAGCTCGTGCCCATCATAAAAGCGCCGGTGCGCCTGCCTCCGCGAACAGTGGTATCCTACGATTGAAATCGTACGAACGATGATGTGCTGCATGTTATAGTTGGTAATATGCATGGGGAAAGCAAACACGTAAAGGCATTCACTACAAACCGGCCTGTACAAGTTCATAGTTGAACCATGCAAGCGATGAATGAATAGCTCAAGTATCGTATGTCCGAAGCTTCTTATGCTTCAAGCAGACAATGACCACTTCAGACCCAATTTGCCCTGTTGCTTTTGCAAACTGACTGTAAGCTTTGTCAGAATAGCAGTTGACGCACTTACCAGAAGGTCCTGATCATTTTGGTGCCGTGGTGTTGCGATATTCTTTGTATTTTCCATATCAAGCCTTGATGCCTCCACAAATCAAGTTTGATATGGTTGTCATTGCCTATCCATCTGCCAATGCCAGATCTACCACACAGGGTGTATCCCAAATCGGGTGCTGGCACTCGCACCTCAAGAACACCGTTGTCTGATCGAAATCCATGAAATCGATGTAGAGCTCGTCACTCGTATCAATGGCGTTGGCATATACCGTCACCTAAACAAATTCCTGCTCACTGCTCCGACGGCTGCTTCCCGACACAAGCCTGCGATCTGATAGGACCTGGACATGTTAGGACCTGACGACTGCGTCGTGGATTTAAATACAAATAAGGGTGGCAGCAGAAGTAGAAGTAAGGACTGAAACATTGGTAAAGCTCGTAGCCGTATTCACACGATGTCATGCTAATGGTGTTTGATACGAAATAGAAATCAAGTGGATATGGTCATAACTTTTGCTTTCACTTGCGTAAGTATCGTAATCGATTGTAAGTTGTCTACAGACCATTGAGTGACTACATATGCTGGCAAATGCAGATTGAAGTCAACTGAAAAGCTTTTACGTCCAAAGAATCAATTGAGAATGCTCGAGCATGTGCGCTCACTAGTGAAGCCTTGTGCGTGCATTTGCATACATTTCTAGAAAAGATCAGAGACGTATATTCAATTGGGTAGCTTCAGCTCAACCTACAATCTTATTTCTCGAAAGATGACGACAAAGATACACTTAGCCTTTGGAAGTTTCGACCATTTGTCAGTCGTTCCTCACGCATGCATTTTTTCTCGTAGCGTATGAGTTGGCTGAAGCCAGAAAAGATAGTGAGCAGGTGAGTTGCTTCAACGATGTAGCCACGTCCTATGCTACTAAGGACATGGATTTTTTGGAAGCAATTTTTTCCAAAGCCGGATCGACCATAGCATCTAACAAATGTATGAACATGGAGAAATTGGAATCTTTGCAATCCAGGAGTTCTACGTATCAAAAAGCCCTTTCAATACAAAGAAATGACATGTTGATCAATGCTTCTTTGTTCCTGCTCACATTCATATTATACTTTCCGGTACGTGACGAGCAAGGGAAACGTGACTTCTGATGTGTGGAGGTGCCGGGTGGGTTGAGCGGGCAAGTCGTTGGGATGGCCTCAACTGCCTGCAATTTGTCTCAGCAGTATTCACGACTGCAATCCAGATGTTATTTCTACATGCATTGTGTACGGGCACTTACAACGGTACGGCGAGATGGGTATTCGAGGCCGGACACTTGTGACATTCGAATTAATCTAAACTTACCTGTCCACGTTCATTCGGCAAAACTGATGTGGTATCTCATGTAGACAAGGCTAATTGTTGGATGCCAAGACTGGCACAAAAGCACGTCCTGAGTATATTGATTGACTTTGTTTAATTGAGCGCGTCCGAATCAAATTGGGTCGCTTCAGCATTTTAGAATACTGTCTTTTCATAAGATAGGGGATAGATCAGGTGCGCTGTCACAAACATGCTGTCGAGCCTACCTCTCTATAATATATGGACAAGTATTGTAAAAAGGGAGACGATAGCGTCTACTAGAAAAAAACGGCTAACCTAAAATCACGTTTATTGACATACAATCACTATAAATGTAAAATTTATGGAAGAGAGCTGATTATCTCACACATTACATGCAGTTCACTTTGCACTACATACGTCCATTGTATACATTTTTTGCTATTTTTTCGTGTGATTGAGAAAAAAAATGTTTGCACCCGATACAAAACCGTCTCGATAAACCTCGTAATCTATCTACGTAGACACCTGTCAACTCTTTCAAGCGTCTTTTCCACATTACTACTACTGACACGAACGACTCTTTATATAATCCGTGTATGCACGTGGGTGGATATAAAAATAAAGTTAGCGTCAAAAGTAGGCGACGATCGATACCGTCCTTTCCTTCGAGCAATTCAATGCACGATTTGCAGTTTGGAGTTTTTTGTTCGAGTCGCAATCAACGTTTATTTTCGAAAGTCTCGCCTTAACACAAGTTCATGGACATGGAATCTTCTAGCAAAATGGATTCTTCTTTTCAATTTTGTCATCCTGAATCGACTACGGATGCTACAAAGAAGCGGTTTCGATTCTCGTTAATGAATGACGACGGTCTTACTACGCTTGCAGAGACCAAGAGACCACGAGGAAGATCTCGCGTTCCTGACAAAGCAGTACTCTCCACGACACACGAGCTTCGTTTGCTGCGATCACAAGTAGCATCCATGGAAGAAGAACTTCGTAGGCTGCAATCCAAGTGGAACGAACATTTACCTGATAAACGCATCTTGGCTACAGCTCAGCATTCAGCTCGCAAGAAACGCGCAGTGGCTCAGATACAAGGAACACAAATGGAATTACAAGAGATGATTCTACAACAGCAACTGATGTTTGCGACGCTACAGACAGCCGTTTTCCGTGCACCATTGCACTCATGTGGTCAGGAGATTTTGAATTCGCTGCATTTGGACACACATTTCGGACACGATGCAGTAGAGCGCAGCAAGACGCTCATTGCCCACACCGAACGCTCGCTTGCGACAGTGCCTTCAGCCGTTAAGCGTTTTACGACAATGGCACTGAATAAAATGATCGCACTTCAAGACAAAGAAGGCCGTAGCGACAAACCAATGCTCCCACTATCTCAGATTGATGTCACCGGTTGCAAGGATGGCACGCTCGTGACCAGTGTTTATATGTCAGAGATCCCGCACCATTCACTAGAGAATGTATACGCGGCAGTGGTGGCGTATCACGACAACATCGAAGTCGTAATGAAACGTCACTTTGGCATTCATGCAACGCGTACGAGGCTCAACAGCCATGATTCACCAACAGCTTACTGGCGGCTAAATTTTGAAGGGGTTGGAATACCAATAACGGTGAATCATATCTTGTGCTCGGAACTAACACCATCGCACGGAGTGATACACATGGACGCAGTCCTGCATGACCCGCTGTATCCAGAATCGCGAAATAGCAAATTGCAGTTTGGCATCTCGGGGCTTACCTTAACGCCGCGAAAGGATCATGTGACGGGTAAAGTTGTGGCTGTTACCCTGCGATGGATGGTTTTGTACCGCTACAAGATGTTGCCGGACGATCCGGCACTACGGAAGGACTTAGACTTGATTCGTCCCATTTTAAACGGTGATTTGATCACTGCTTCAGTGTGCACGTACCTTCAAGAACTGCATCAACGGAAATAATCGGAAGGACGTTTCAAGACAAGTTCCCTGACGCAAAACCTTAAGCTTACACATACCATTGAACAGCAGTCCGCTCGCCTTGCGAACCATGTGTATATCCTGGCGGGTAGGTTGTAAGACTATCAAGGTTGCTTAATCTACAGTGTTGTTTGTTACTCAAGTATCATGTCTTTCATTCATACCCACCGCCGTATTGATGAACTCAAACGATTAACCTGTATTTTTGCACCAGCTACTGATCCATCCCCAGAAGCAGCACGCTATCAAATAACTGCTTATAAGCCTCACGTGTCGGTCATGGCGGTCATTACTGGTAGGTAAGCTCCCAGGTGGCTTGTACGGTGATAACTCAATCATCATATCACGGCACCAACGCGTCAGTTGTTGACCGTGCTTGAACGATAAAAAACAATATTCTTCTCACCACTCTTCTCCTTGCAAACATCTGGCTCCTTCGAATCACGGTGCATAACAAAACGATCGAGGCCTTGTAATCGTCAAGTTTGATGCTTCCTCATCACTGTACACAAAAGATTCCACGCACTATAGCCGTCATACTACTCTTTTGTACAGAACATTGTTTATATGGCGTTAATGTATAAAGGTCTTAGTGATGCAGAAAATATCATGCGAATCATTTCTTCTCTGTGAAAGAATCACGTAGCTGTTTTTACTACCATAAATGCTATTTTTATGCCTGATCGCTAAACCCACCTCTCTTTTCCCGTATTATTTGAGCGAAGATAATAATTATTTTTGATTTTTCTGTACGTTTTTGTCCATCATTTGATGACTGCTTCGTTATTCACCTACCTACCATACAAATATTAAGTGCTGTATATCGCCTTCAACATGCGGTACATCGTTAGTGCATAATCCGCGTGAACAAGGGATTTACTACTATAACAAATTCGCTTTATCGTGATCACAACAAGTCATAAAGTGCCGCTCAGCCTGCATTTTCGAGCAAAAACGGCTTATCAAACTGATCGTCATCAATAGTACAGACAATTCGCACATGCGACTTTGACATTTTGCTATTGTTCTCTTCACAGCAAGTTTACACGATCGGTTATTCGAATGGAATGGACGTGGGCGAAGGTACAACGATTGGCAAGACGGTCTTATGTACACGTGGACGCAATGGGATGGAACCCCTTTCTTTAAGTGCTATCGTACCACACGCAGTCATTATTGATGATAGAAAAACTAGTCCATCATCATCCTCAACCTCTCGCAGGTTATTCTGGCTTTCCTATTTGTTACATCAGACATAGTCAGACCAAGTTTTTTGGCCTCGCGTGGCTTCTTTCCAGCATGTCGCAAGTATGTACCGCGTTTTTTTACATCACGTAAACGAAACGTGTTCACAAACTACTTTTCAGAGGGAATCCTTTGATACATGATTGTGGTACTTTATTTGTACATATCGTACTTCCCAAGACTTTGGTGCTTTATTATTGATCGAATCAACAAGTTCAAGGTTGTATATTGAAAGTGCAACAAATACAAAGAGTAGCCTATTCGATTTTATTTTGTTTACGGATGTGAGATTTAAGGAGATTCGAAAAAAAACAAGTGAAAATTACAAACTGAATTGTTTTGTAAATATCAATTCTCGCAGATCTCTTTTCCTCTTGCTCATTAGCAGCCGTTTGCAAAACAATCAAGGGATTCCTAGTTTGTAATTTTCCTACTGTACAACACTTAGCTGATCTCATACATAAGAGGATTTATCAATAAGGATAATAGTATCCATCTTCCAACGACAATAGAACGAACGTCTCGTGCCATTCTTTTTTGCTTCATCTTTCTTTTCCTTCTTACAACACAATGAGTACAAAACCAACCAACGTGATTATTCTACCACCACCATTACCTGATATGACTTTGTCTACTGATTACTCGACGTTTTTAACTAGCCCACAGCATACAACAAGGACAAGAAGTACAACAACAACAAAAACAACGCAATCAAGTCCATGTAACATTACGAAACGTCATCATTCTTTATCGAAAGAAGAAGAAGAGGTGAAGGAAAAAGTCGTTTGTGCTTTTACTGGCTCGAAAACTGCCATGTCAGCACCACGTCCACGAGCAGCAAATGGAACTCCACTTTCGATTACACATGAGATTCGTCTACTTCGTTCTCAAGTGGCTCAAATGGAAAAAGAGTTACAAGTTCTACATGACAAGTGGGCGCTAGAGATTCCAGATCAAGGAACGTTATTGATTGCTCAACACTCAGCAAAAGAAAAACATGGCGCGATTCAGACAGAGAAAACACATGATGAGCTCCACACGATGCTTCTTCAACAGCAATTATTATTTGCTACTTTACAGACAGCGGTATTACGTGCACCATTGTATTCGAGTGGACAAGCAGTATTTGAAGCACTTCATTTTGATACACACCTTGGATATGATGAGAAGGAGAGAGAAAACGTGCTCTGGGCTCATCAACAACGTTCATTTGCAACCTTGCCATCGATTCTCAACAGATTTACACAATTAGCAATTGACAAAGTGACACAGGAGAATGCTTTGACCAAGTGTGTGATGCCCGTGTCACAAATTGATATTACAGGATGCAAGGACTGCACGCTTATTTCAAGTATTTACATGTCAGAGATCCCACACACGTCGCTTGAGGAAGTGTACAAAGCGGTATTAGCGTACTTTGACGGTATTCCGACGTTCATGAAGCGTCACTTTAATATCAATGCCGAGCGTGTGCAACTTAATAGTGTTGACTCACCTGTCGTATACCGTCGCTCGACGTTTCATGGAGCAGGGATTCCTTCAATCGTGAATAACATTGTCTGCTCGGAGCTTACGTCGTCGCATGGAATGGTACACATTGACGCTGTTACTGACGACCCTATGCATCCAGTTCACCGAAGTACTCCATCGCAATACGGAATTTGTGGATTAATGATCACGCCTCGCAAAGAAGCCGTGACTGGGCGGACAATGTCAGTGACATTGCGGTGGGTGGTCGTGTGCAATTACAACATATTGCCAGATGACCCGGCCCTCACGGACGAACTGGAAATCATCCGCCCTATTTTGAACAGTGACTTGCTCACAGCAACGATATGCACCTACATCCAAGAGCGACAGCGAGAGAACGTTAAGAACCAACTCTAGGATGCGACCTTCATGCACAAAAAGAAGATAATGCAGTGTAATCTTGACGTACATCATATTCATTCAGTAGCTCTTTGTGTCTTTACTAAGAGCTAACGAACGGCATCGGACGGGCTCAACTACATAGTGTGCACGTTTCATAAAGTGAACGATCTTGCAAAGTACTTTTAGAATCGATACATAGATGGTAAGTTGTCCGTGGCAATGAGCACGTTATTCCATGTGGAAACTTCATGCTCTGGTTTTACAATACCTTACCACATAGTCACTCTAACGTTATGATAGTTTGGCAAAGCGGTCATCAATACACCAACCTCAATGGCCAACGTCACATGTCAAATCTCACAGACTTTGTATCGTATCGAACAGTTGGATCATTACTTAGGTCACGCTGTACTTGCACTCCGGTCTGTAAAAAGTATGTCAAATTAACTTGTACAACTTCTGTAGATACACTCATGTCACCATGAATGAACAAACGCCATGTTCAATACAGACTACAGAGTGCTAACGTAAACACTGGCAAAGCTAAACGATATACAGCCGTGAACAGCTTTTACTTCATGTAGATACATTCACTGATCAAAAGAACTAAAGCACACCAGTGTCCATTAATATGAATAAACCAAGATGAAACCTCTTACTGTCTCTCAAGCATAATAGCTTGAAGGTGCCATGCTCAAGAGCTTCTTACGAAAACTCTTTCCTTCTTTGTCCAAGTCTTCATTGCAAATTCTGTCGTAAATGCATCCTACTAACACTCAAGATGTTTGAATATATAGACAAGTCTAACACTACTGAATTGTACTGAGTCAACAATTCTTCCCTCATTCATTGAGATATACCAAGGTCCACCATGACGCGGAGCATTGCGAACAATGGATTGTGGACACCGGTCCGTTTGCAAGATGTTATCAGCAGATCCCTCCCATCACCATGCTACTTGATGGCGAATCTCTTTTCAAAACTATCTTTTGTATACTATCGGTGAAGAATGCCCTTTGCATAGAAATTACACACACGGATTAGACCAGTGGTGCCAGGCTGGGAGTATCAATGATGCGTGCATCATACAACACAATCTGATGCAGTGGGTGGCGGGCGACCAGTAATTCCACGATGAATTCAAGTGAATAATGTAACACGCGAAATTTTTCCCGCAGCACATGAACCAAGGAAACGTTCGCGTCCACCTACGACTCTTTCACGTAATGTTTACCTGGGCTAGTCATCCAGGTAAAGCAGTAAAAGAGTTTGTGCTACCTCTTTGTTGAAAATTTACGTACGAACAGATCGTACTTTTATCTCAATCATTTTGCTCACTATTGTTATTCATAACTCGTATCATACGTGAATATTCGTCCTATTCATCTCTATATCTGAAACACTACTCAATGAGGTAGCACTACCGCCCCACTTGTTTCTGTGCTGCGCAGTGTCATTCTAAAACTTGTAAACAATCCATTGCTAACATCTTACAACATCTTGTCAAAAAAAAACACACATGATTGTCCCATGGAATTGAACACACGTGCTTCCCGTTTGTCGGTTCTTTGAAATCACCCCCCCCCCAGCCGATATGACTTTTACCATGTACATCATCAATCACACTTGATCAACATGAAATCCACCTGATGAAATTAAGTAGTGGCTACCTCCTAACAATATGACGAAATACACAAATGTTCGTCAGCTGCGTGTCGTCTCTAAGACCTGTTTGTACCGTATTTTGCATTGCTGATGGTGTCCTGATCGTTTTCTATCGTCATCATATTTACTCGACAAGACGCTCGATTCCATCCTTTTTTTTGTCGTTTGAATAACTTGTGCACTGATAGACAAAAACGTCGTCTGTCACACCCCACGAGTCCCATTTGGTCAAGTGGGACACGTCGCGAGTTTGGTAACTTCATGACGGAACGCCACGAAGAAAAACGTTCTTTGCGGGAAGCGCAAAAACCTCGTATGACCTACGGTGACGGTTCGAGAAAATCAACTACTAGTGGTCGCAATGCATCCAGAACAGCGGCACGAAAGGCTGCTATCTCGACGGCGGTGCGGTCTCCTGTCTTGTCTTATCTTATTACTACGTAGATGCTTCATTCTGTAACTTTGTTAGTGCTGTTGTTTGATACTTGGTCTAGAATGAAGTCAAGGAATTACGTAGTGAAGCTCAACGACTGGATGAACAGTTTTCAGCGCTCTGTGCCAAGTGGAAAGCAGCATTACCGGAACGTGACGTACTGCTAGCAGCCTGTACGGCGGCCAAGCAGAAAGCAGTGACAGATCGTGTCGAGCAGCTTAATATTCAACTCAAGGATGAACTACTCCAACAACAGCTTTACTTTTCAGCTTTGCAGCAGAAACTCACGGAAGCACCACTATGGTCACGTTCAGTATTGTGCCAAGAGCTCTTTGACCGTATGCACAGCTACTTGCATCTTGTAGGTTCGGATCTTGAAAGTCGCAGGAAGCAGCTAGAAGCGCGATTTGAGTTTGGCATCCGGATTGCACCGGAACTCGTGGAAAACTTTACTCGTGAGTTTCTTCCACTTGCATCACACGTGCTGCCATTTTCACGAACCAGCACAGCAGCTACGATAATCCCGTGCCCGCTCCATGCTCAAGGTGGACTAAACGAGGAGAGAGAAGGTGATGTTTGTGGCACGCTCGTCTCGAACGTGTTTGTATGCAAGTTGTCAGCGGGTGTCAATATTCCGCGGATATATCAGAGTGTGGTTGACAACATCAAAAACAACTCGATCCATCTCGAATGCCGTCTTAACGTGCTGCTTGATTTCAAGGTACAGACAATACTGTTTCCGTCAGATGTATCCCTCTACGTAGTGGTTGGTTCTTGGGCCATTGGTCGCGTTGATGTGCTAACTATACAACTACTCTTCTATCTACTGCAGTATGAATTCGAGATGGGACCATATACCTACTACGCCCGCGTGGAGAGGCAGGATGGCGAAATGCGTGGAGCCCACACCAATCGAGCATGGACTGGTAGACTTGTGAGTGACGACCTGGCCGTAGTCCTGACAGATTTTGTTGACGTGGACGATGAGGAAGCTACCGACGAATTTCGGGAAGAAGGGCAAGACATCCAAGTTGGTAGTGATGGTGTGCCATTGATATTGCCAACATCAATGTCGGGGATTCGCATCGATGTGTGCATGATGCTCACTATTTCACGCGTAAAAGATCCGAAGTCACAAGAGACTTATGTTCTCCTGCGCCGACTGCGCGTGCATCGATACAATCTGCCACCCAACTCGCCATTAATTTATCGTGAGCTAAAAAAGCTAGTGTCGTATTTTAGTGGTGACTTCCATATGGCCATGCTAAGTGACGCGTATACGAAGACAAGCAACGAAGACCATCCTTTCATTGCTGGAAGTGAAAGTTTTCTGTCTGCAAGGAATGACAGAAGGGATGGAGAAACAGAGACGTAGAAGATTGAAGCAGCAACCAACGCAAGATAAGTCCTGTATAAGTGGAAGTTTTGTGGCAATGCATCCAGCGCTGTCCACAGCCCCATTGAAAATAAGTTCACACATAGTCATCTTTTGTTATATTTGTCGACAGTGCCCGCAGGAAGGCGTGTTGCGACTGAAGTTGAAAGGTTAGGACATTCATCGTTTCTTAGCGAGGTAGCATCGAGACAAATAATTTGACGATGTTGTTGTAGTGTTTTAAAAACTGCTAGACGAAAATGGGCATGAAGCCTTGACTCCTACACGCATGTTCTCGTCGACAAAACCATTTATCTCGTATGTCTAATGAGGCAGAGACTACACTGGAAGGATAGAAAGACCTTGCCGGGATATGGTGCTTGAGTAGACGACATACGACTTTCATGGAAAGCTTTTCTCTTGCCAAAGATGAATATTAAATTCATCGTGCACATTCGGCGACAGTTGAAAAGAGCGTTTGTATTCGTTCAAAGCAAGACTATGCACTAGCACGTATTCTTGGTCGATGCCACGATACATCTATATCCAGAAACGTATTCAAAGCGAAAACAAGTCGTCGCCAGATCTCCACAAAGACAAGTAACACAACAGTGGCGACCGATTCGAAATCTCACGTCTTAAGAGCAAGAATTGGGCGCACACGTGCCAGGCTCGAGTCCATCCAACGCGTCGATCTGAAGCGTAATGAATAAGAAGTAAAATCGAGGTCAACGGATCGGCAACGACTGCCACCAAGTCCGGCGTGGTAAATTGTGGCGCTTGGGCCGGTGCAAAACTGCATCTGAAAGCACGTCCAGACGTCTTCGTGCGTTTCAATACACAGTTACCGATCGCTGCACCGAGTTCGAACGCGCAGGTGTAGTCATCACAATGGTGTCCAATAACGGGTTGCTTCACGTCGCAGTGCCAACTGGCTGAACCAATTAAAAACGCCGCAACTCCAGACATGCTCCAAGCCACACTGGGCTGCAAGATGATCAGATTCGTTGCTCGAAACCAAACGTCTCCTACAGCCCCTAGAAGCGGTGCATTCCGTCTGGAGCTCTTGGCTTTTAAATGGGATTAGAAATAGCGACTGAATCATGAAGTTTCGAGAGAATCTTGATAAAGCTGCTGTTGCAACATTTGGTCTTTGTGCGTAGACGCAACAAATGTCATGTACATTGGTGGCATGTGTACAAAGTGGACTTAGCTACATGACCATGCGTATACATAACATGGAACGCTGTATTGCTGTAAATATGGTGCAGACAGACACAAACAGCACTGCCTTTGCAAAGCACCTCCTGGAAAACGGCCACCATTGCATTTCCCATGCAAGTTTCAGACTTGTCGAAAGCACATCGCTTAAGTAGATAAACTTCCGTAGTCGCTTGTCTAAGTTCTTTAATAATTGCCATGTAGCTACAACAAATCTTAGCAGTGTCTGATGACGAAGCGTGGCGTTTCGCATGATGCTGAGCGATTGATATCGAACACGCTCAACCGTTTGGCTCAAATAGTCCGATAGCAGCTTCTGTCGTAAACCTGACATTATTCTTGTTTTCTTTCTCGCGACCAACAAGCGATTGGTTTTCTATGCGGGCTTGAAGCATGTACTTGTAGTAGCTCGAGTTCTTCCAGCCACGCAAATTGACTTTGGTCGGTACTACTAGGGCAGTAGTTCGGCGACATAGAACTGTGGTCACTACATCATTGGTCCGGTCAGCGATGCTGCTAGTGTTGCGCTTTTGAGTCCACCACAAGCTGACATTGTATGTAGTAGGAGGGCTGCTGAAAGAAACTTTGGTGCGTGTAAAAGCGACTTGTTAAAGCACTCGTTTTCAAGCTCAAGTAGTTGTCATCGAGCCAAGAGGTGCAAGGAGAAGAACCCCGTGTCCAGTGTCGAAAATATGTTTATTCTCTGACAAAATTGCCAAGACGATTCCTGCCGCTTTATCAATCCAAATTGGCGCTCCTTCGTTAGCCTACCGGATGCGATTCTGTGCAAGGCAACCCTACTTGTCATGGCTCGCGCCGATCGATAACGTCACGCTTTTGTTTTGTGAGAGAGAATTGCGATATAGTACGAATGAGCCTCGCATTAGCGACAACTTCATCAGTGAACGTGTCGCTCGTGGCTATTTCAGCATCAACCAGTTTGATTACCTTGTTACAAAGATACGTCACTCTTCATGTCGTGTCACACCTGTTCTTGTCTGGGAATACGATGTTATCCGTGGTGAGCTATCCCTTGTTGATTTGCCGCAGCAGACTCTGCATCATATATGTATCTATAGAGCTGTAACATGGATCTTTCCATCAGTTTCATTGAGTCACGACACCCCGCATGGTGATTCTGTGTCTTTGCTGAGGCAGTGCGACATACAACCAAATAATGTCGTGTCCCCCCACTGACTTCCTTCCACCAAAAAGATAGATTCTTGACACTGTTCCCAGATTCATCCCCGCGTTCCTCTAAATCATTGCAAAACTGAGACACCGACGTATCTCAAATGAGCCTAAGAGCTACTCAAGCATCTCGGTCAAAAGAATTGTCACCTTAGTGACCGCCAAGATACTTTTGCGGTCTAGTGGCGCCGCCACCGATTCATGATGTCTGACGGTCGATTCTTTCGCGTTGCATCTAGTATCATCTGCCCACCCACACAGCTTCTGGATACAGATGGATTGCGCTCGTTTCGCTAGGCATTAGCGGCATCTTGTTTCCCACCACCTTGCACATCGTCTAGAATCAAATGATTGCTCGCGCATAGATGTCTCCAAGCAGCTGTGGTACTTGTTAGCGCATCTTGGATCATGTACATAAGCTTGTGCCAAGTAACTTAGCTTCAACGTGCTTTCCAGGTTACAGCTATATATATTACGATCGTGGACTCCCATGTGCTCGTCAGACGTACACGTCGGTTTATCCCAACCTATTTGCCAATGAGTCTGTACTGATAATTACAGCCGTTTGGTTTGTAATGCTCGTCGCCTGGGCTCTGTCAACATTACCACATTCTTAGAATTCGTAATACCGCTATTTGAATCACAGACAACGCTACGTCATTGCTTTCGCTTTGTTGCGTTAAGGAGGTTACAGCAAACTGATCAGTATTAACGAGTAGCAGTCATTGATTGACGCGACACAACGTGAGTAGATGAAGTCATTGATTGTGTTCTTGAAAACACCGTGGCCGATAAAACGTAATGCCAGTTGACTTTTTCTGACTAATGCTTGCTTTGTACTGTAACAATGGTCTTATTGCCAAGAAGGTTGAGTCTGACATGAAGCCATGTGCCCCAAGATTACCACTTCTGCTTTGCTATCTTGAAAAAAGTTCATTTCGTAACGCAACGTCTTGTCTTTGAATGACAAGCGTATCATTGCCGGGGCGTCTTTGGAATCAAAGGTGTCGCAGAGAATATCTTCAAACCAAAGTACAACAACGGTGTACGTCGACTCCAGCATGCATTTACCACGTTGAATATGAGGCTAAAAACAGTGTATCCACTGAAAAGGTAAAGCACTTTGAATTGGCTGGTATGCAATATCGAAGCCAACAGTATAGCTTCAATCATTGCTACACTCGTCGTCGTCACCCGTGGTCAAAATGGGATCAAATGTCGCAAATGCCGACGACAGGGTCGTCCGGTGCACGCAAATCCCTACCTCTGCCAATTTCAAGATGAGGCTGGTCCTGTTGGATTGGTCATGGTAGCGTTTTTTATATGCCATGGAGACTTCAACGAGTGGGTCCTCATGACGGCAGGTGCTGTCGTTCATTGACGGCTGCTATCGGTTAGACAAACCAGTGGCTCTACTGGTAGCAATGATACCTCGCTAGCATTAGTCGCCAATGAAATCAAATAGCGTTCAATACGAAAGGTTGCAAGCTTTTTGTTGATAGATAGATATCCCTTCCATTATGACTTTATACAACGAAGTCTACAATGAAGAATTATAATGCTCTAAACTTAATGTGCTACGTACTATACGCTCGAGAGATTGAAGCCGACAGCAGCACTTGCCAACCGGGTTCGACGGAACAAAAAGCTTGTTTGCATGACCTCTTAGAATGCTGAGGGAGGCGTTTTGCTTCTTGTGCTTGCGAATTACTCAAGGATGGCAGAGCACAGAAACTCGATCTCGTCTGAAGATAAGAAGCTCTGGTGGCTGCTCATAGATAGGGGCATGTCGTCAAACTCGATCAAGTACGAAGCACCGCCAACGGGTAGACCAGACCACGCGGTCTCGTTAAGACTGCAGTCGACCGAGTCGGGTGTGTACATGACATCACGTGAAGCCAGTGACGAGTACGACATGGAAGAGGAAGTCGAGTAGGTTGATCCAGTTGGAGATACTGCATCGTTCATGGTAGTCAGACCTGCGAGAGCAGCCATGTCCAGCATTGAGATGGACGACGGAGACGAGAGACCACTGAGGCTGCCGTAAGTGTCACATGCCTTCTTAGTACGGGCGACCTGACGTTTTTGACGGTCAAACTTGCGTTGAATCTTGTTGGCCTTGTCACGGTGGTAGAGACACAGTTGATGTGGTTGGCCATTGCGCTTGCTGGAGCGTACGTTGGTGCACTTACCAGTCTTGTATCTGCACTTGTTGAGACCCGTTAATGGAGTGTCAGCTAGTCCTAGGATAGACTGAGCCGATTGGGTTGAGGTGGAGATGGCAACCATTTTTTATTTGCGAGATGAAGTGAAGTTACTTGTAGTCGAGACACTTGTGTTAGAGAAGACGAATTTTGAAATGAGCAAACCAACAAACTGCGTTTGTTTGATGGCCATCGCAGCGAGATTGACTGACTGTTGCGTCACTACTGGCACACTGTCTAGCAGACCCAACAAGGATTCATTGGCTCGTCCGTCTCTCGTGCTTCTTCCTTTTTTTTTGCATTGCAAGCACCGTATACTAGCAGATCAAACAGCCCAGATCGGCCTGTTCATGTGCGACTTGCAGTAAGCATGTAAGCATTACAACAAGGTTCTTGCACAAGGATTGCTAAATGTTGTAGCTTTAGCTAGTATTGTCTAATGGTCTTGTGCTGGATGATGCTGATACGCGCTATCAAGCATATGGATTACTGTGGGGCTGAGTATTCGTGACTATGCATTAAGTGATACATATTAGAAGCTAGATGGCAACACATGGGTCAGAATACAGCGTGATGATTCTAGACAACGCCCTAAGCATTAGGATTGATCCACGGAGGCCTAGAAGCCACGTTCTGGACGTGCGTGCTTCGCCCTGGAAAAGATACAATCGTAGTAGACAGGCTACTTATTTTTAGAAGCTCAAATCTGATGCAGACATTCAGTAATGCGGGAAATAAAGACGGCCATTATTATATTTGACAGGAATGCTGCTCGCGCTAGCAGCGCTAAGACCTATCGACATCTCAATACTTCCGACATGCTTTAGTAGATTGCTGCAATTAATTCTACATTACAGGTCGAGCTACGCAAACTTGCTTGTACCGTTGCTATTAGCGATATTGACCTTGTTTTGGTCAATCATCACCACCAAAACAATTGAGCCGAATCTAATATTCAGAGTTGGCAGAAGCCACAAGTCTCTGCTGGTAATGACCGCTACGGTGCAACATACTTGTCCATGACACACCAGACCATAGCTGGCTTATGGATGTGCAAACTTTGTTTAAAGGTTAATTTGTGCACGGAGAGGCCAATAGACCACTTGGAGGTGTCTGCCAGCCAACGTCTCCTGCAAGATTAGCCGTGGTGATGCGAGACGAACTGGATGGCCATTCATAATTGCCAGTCTTAGATTTAGTAGTAGCCGCTTGCGACACGTAGTGCCATAGCTGAGATCCGGTCAAGACGTGCAGGTCTGACGGACGCAACGTAGATGCGTTCTACTCAGCAAGATACAATCTCTGTACAAGTGTATGGCATCCACACCGAATTTCCTTTCAAGTTTAAGGTAGCTAGCTTGCATTACAGCCTTGGCAAAGATCCATCCGAATACAGATACAAGTAGGAAACTGATCAGGATGCGATGCCGCCAGCTCGGATGTCTATCAACGTCAATGCAGTGGCTTTGCTACTCGTTCTGGAAAAACATGTGGATTCGCAGCGCGTGCGCCAAGGTTCAAGACAACAGTGCGCTCATCCCACCTCTTCTGGATCTGGGAAACCGATGAACGTCGCAGGCCAAAATAATTGGTCGGTCTAATTCTGCACAGCAAAAGTAGAAGTAAAACAACACACATAGATAGGTACACTTAATAGACACATTTTCGTGACGATATATGCTGGAAGGGCACCAACATAACATTCGTCAATGGATGCATGCATGTGTCAAAAATCACAGCAAAAGTACAGTTCATATGTATACATACGGAAAACAGCACACATTACCACTGATATGGAAAGTCTTTCGTGTTCATAAATTGTAGAATTTGATGACACCCGTGGAATCTTCGTGATCCAACTCTTCGATAGCTTCCGAAAAAGGATTGATAGATCCCACTCTACTGCCTTTGACAAGACCATACTATGCAACCTTATGTGAAAACATTTGAACTTTGCTGAAAGTATCTCAGTACAACCTAATGGTTGACACGTACAGGCTCTCTCTTACTTTTCGCGACGAAAGGGTACATTCGATTTGATCTGAAGAAACTACTGAATCCACAGCTGAGACCTGCCGACTGCTGTATCAATTTATTATATACCATCTGTCAATGCGGAGCAGAGAAAACACAGTCCACGGATACCTCACGAGCAGCGCCAGTCGAATTTGCAGCACTAATGAGTCGTGAGTGTGTATTTTGTATCCATTATAACAACGTCTGGTCCAATGGAAAACGCGACATTAAAGTATCTCCTTCTTGTCTGCTTCCCGCTAGAATCATTGACCTTTGAGAAGATTTGAGTCCCCTTTTACATAGTCAATCAATGATCCACTGTCGCTCGAGGTCCAAATCGCTACATGTTTCAAACCGCTTCATATCTACTCCGGCTCCTTCATCAAGTCCAACTTGAGCCTCATCTTAAAGCTTCTTGCCGCTTCCGGCTAAAGATGGGGATCGGCTGCATACTCAATTTGAATCAAACTTTGATCACAATCGAGGCCATTGGCTCGATGATGATGACAACGATCTAGTCGTACCTTGACCCGCTTCTTGAAGTCCCGAGTGCAACATGATAAGGAGCCTATCTCAGGATAATGGACTCTTGTTCCATAATGCTCGTACCTTTATTGAAACATCTCGAAGCAGACGTGGATATATGCAGTGAAAGAAATTTTCCACGTAATAAATTCAGACGGGCAAACGTTGCACCGCCTTATAAGTAACTTACTACACAGGCAAAACTGTATGCTATTACTTGTGCGCAGATGATTGTAAAAGTTCAATGATAAGCATGCGCAAGAGAGGAATTAGAACGAAAGTATCGAATGTCTAGATAATGTACAGTTTAACGTGTTTTGTTAAACTGTACATGTATCTAGACATTCGATAAGCAAGCACCTTGACGCTTCTGTAGCAACGACCGTAGGTACTGATCAGCACAAGCTGTCTTAAACTCTGACGACGTCGGCATCACATCCTTTATCCAATGCACTCCTTTTAGGAATGTGTGAGTGTCCCAGATGCTTTCGCTTCTGCTGCAAGCGTTCTTCAATCAGAGTCGTACCGCTTGTCCCATGGATGTACATGCGTCGAGATGGTGTTTATAGCTTCGGGTCTGATTAAGCAATGTCCAAGATCGCGCTTCAAAAGAAGACGCGACATCTTTCGCGCCGCCGGATTTGACGTGAAGCTAGAGGGCAGTGCCCTCAAAAGTGTCCTTTTGCACACTCGGTTCCCAAAGGTAAGGATGGAGCTCGTGCATGTCCACGAGCACACAAAAGCACTCATCATGACAGTGAGGTCTTTGCAGCCCGCCGTCGGATTACTTAAGTTTTTGGTGACAGTAAACCTTCTCGAATCCAAGACTGCAGTGAACTTCTATACCAGGAATTGCAGCTCACCACAGCACCGCCCTGACACGTCTAGACCCAGCGTTCAAGCGAGTAGGAAGTATCTTCCTATGGTATCGCACTGTGACATGCGGTTGGTGACGCAACGCGTTAGACGTGAAACGCCGCTGCGTGAACGATAAATTGTTTTAATATCACCTCGACCACCTCATTTTCACCGTCATGCCGATTACCAGTGAGACGCAGAACTTTACGGTGCAGAACTTATGTAAGCGCTTGAACAAGTCCGCGTTCAAGAGAACCACGAGTTGGGTCAATCCCGGAGTTTGAGCGCTCACAAGCTACAGTCCAATGTTCAGTTTGCGTGGCGTGCTTCCAGCATCTTGCTCTGACGTTCATCAGAGCCTACGCCCCTCACCGAGTTTTTGAAGTCACTCATCCATTCGAAGTGAACACAACATTCGTCGATACACGCAATTTATGCACACACGCTACACTCCAACTCGTATGATGTATTGATAATAATACGTCTGTGCACTTTAAGCTATACGATGTCATGAAGAAGCATGCACAGTCTGCATTCTACTGTTTCTCTACCCCTTCACCTTTCGTTCATGCTCCTTTTCCGCATACTTGCCGCTTTGAACTCGAGAGAATCTCGCTGCACCTCGAAGAATTTGATTACTCAATTTGAAAGCTCTACATTTGATCTCTCAATCACCAACATGAACGAATCAGTCATTGTCAATGTCAGACATCTATCTCTGCGTCGATTCCAATGCAGCGACGTCATTTTCTTGGTTTTCTTCCTAGGAAAAAACGATAAAATTTAACAAATCGTCGCATAAGTAGATTGAAAAAACTACAGCTCCACAACCAACAAATTTTGCACCCATGTACTCACAAACGTGTCATCTACACGGTCGAAATGGTTGAAAATCCTGTTGGTCGCTTTATTCATCATTAACGTGTTGGTCGCTTTATTCGTCATTAACGTGTTGGTCGCGGCCTCTACCAAGGTGAAAAGCGCAACATAAGCAAATGCTCATTGCATCAGTGCGACATAAGAAAAAAATTATGGTGCGCTTAGCGCTTGACACGCAACCTAACTATCGTAGCCATACAAAACTCGGCATTAAATAATGCTTGCGCTGCGTCGACGACCAGCGCGACGCGCAGTAGCAGCATCGTCTCTACGCATGCAGTGCTTTACTACAGCATCTGCAAATACTGAGAAAGATAACATACTAACACCGAGTACAGTCGGTCCTTATATGTCAAAGCGGCTAGAGGAATTTCCACCAGAAAAAATCCGCAACTTTAGCATTGTGGCACATATTGATCACGGTAAATCGGTGCGTTTGATCAGCTAGGAACGTTTGTATATGTTGTTTATGGCATAGAACATTTGTGTGCATACCTAATTAAGCTACTATTATCAATGTACTGCTATTTGAATTGCTTGTAGACGCTAGCAGATCGATTGCTGGAAATGAGTGGCAATATCTCGCGTCAAGAGCGAGAGAGTGCTCAGTTTTTAGACAATTTAAAGGTCGAACGAGATCGAGGAATTACAGTTAAAGCGCAGACAGCATCAATGGTGTACCGAGATAGTACGACTGGAAAAACATACATGCTCAATTTGGTTGACACACCAGGACACGTGGACTTCAGCTACGAAGTGAATCGCTCACTTTCTGCCTGTGAAGGAGTTTTACTATTAGTAGACTGTTCACAGGGAATTCAGGCTCAGACGTTGGCTACGTATTATGCAGCAAAGGAGAGGAATTTGCATGTGGTACCAGTCTTGACAAAAATTGACATGCCACATGCTGAAATCGATGACAATATCTTGAGTTTGTCGTCGTTGTTAGATGTGGACCCGGATGATGTACTTTTGACCTCATCAAAGAGTGGAGAAGGTATTGAAAATGTGCTCCCGACGGTAGTGAACAAACTGCCACCTCCGGTTGAGTGTAATCCTAATGCACCGCTTAGGTGCTTGCTAGTGGACTCATACTACGATGATTATCGTGGAACCGTGTGTCTTGTAAAGGTCGTTGATGGTGCTATTTTTCCTGGAGATAAAATTTATAGTGCACATTATACAACAAAACATGATGTTCAGGAAACGGGGTTGCTGCTGCCTGGACGATTTAAGACGAAGGGGTTATACGCTGGCCAGGTAGGATATATTATTGCAGGTATGAAATCCACTACTGAAGCAAAAGTTGGAGATACTTTTTTTCGTGAAGGCGCTGCATCGGCAGATTTGAAGGCACTGCCCGGTTTTCAAGAGGCTCGTAGCATGGTTTTTGCAAGTATGTACCCTACTGACGAATGCAGCTTTGATGAATTGCGCTTTGCTATTGAAAAGCTTACACTGAACGATGCAAGCGTGACGACTCAGCAGGAAACTAGCGGTGCACTGGGTATGGGCTTCCGCTGCGGTTTCTTGGGGCTTTTACACATGGAGGTGTTTCATCAGCGTCTTTCTGATGAGCAAGGAATACAGGTTATGGTCACAGCGCCGATGGTACCGTACACTGTGATTGATTCAACAGGAGAACACTTTGCTGTTGAAACCCCTGCCGCGTTTCCAGAATCAACAAAGTACTGCGAGATCCTAGAGCCAGTGGTAGAGGCATCAATTATCACTCCGGTGTCATATCTGGGTACCGTTTTAGCACTTGTTAAGGAGAAGCGCGGTGTTCAGACGAACCTTGTGTATCTCGAGGATGAGCGCGTCATCGTAACCATTAACGTACCGTGGCAAGAAGTCGTCACTAACTTTTACAACGAGCTCAAGATAATCTCCTCTGGCTACGGTAGGTTACGACCCTTGGCTATGATCTCGGTTGTCTTGATCTAACCATGTGCATTATTGATTCTCTAGCAACGCTCAACTACCGCGAAGTTGAACCACAAAAGTCAGATATTGTGAAAGTGGACTTACTGATCAACGGAAAAGTGCTCGATGCGCTATCTTTTGTGTGTCATCGAAGCCGCGCCACGCTCGATGGCCGCGCATTATGTCAAAAGCTGAAGCGTGTTATTGATCGACAGCAGTATGAAATCTCTATTCAAGCTGCATTGGGTGGCAAAATATTTGCCAAGGAACGGATTGCGCCATATCGCAAGGACGTACTTATCAAATCCGGCAAAACTGTTGGCGGAGGTGATAGCACCCGAAAGAAGAAGCTACTAGCCAAGCAAAAGCAGGGCAAGCGACGCATGCGAACGGTGTCGAACGTGCAGCTTTCGCAGGATGCTTTTTGGTCTGTACTTTCCAAATAATAATGGATGGATGATACTGATGTTCATGGGTGTTTTTTTTGACAGTCTTGGTCTAATTTTATGAGGCTTCTGGTCAACAAATACGACAATGACACGTTGGAAGGAAGGGATGCAACTGGTAGATGATAATTACTGGCATGCGTACCGGTCACTGGCCGGCTACGTAACGGACGTGTATTGCGCCCGGCTAAATTATCTGAACGATACTGTCTTCTTGTTTTTGGTTGGTTATTCTGTTCTAAGCTGCTAGAAAGGACTAAGGTAGCGTGTAACTGGGTACGCCTACATCACAATGACACTATCATTGAATGTCAATGTGGATATTATCTAAACGGATAAATATTGTAGTTGTATTCTCTGTGAGGATGGCTACACCCAGCCTATTGACTCATATAGGCGATCATGTCATCTGACATCTGGAGTAAAGCTACCGTACCAAAGCTACTTATGCACTAGGTGCAGAAGAAGACAAGCTCTAGGAGCTTGTACCTTTTTGGTTGTTGCTCTACAGAGCAAGATTGAAACTAATTTAGATAATGTTTATTTTCTCGCACTAATATAGAAGCACCTATTTTATACTTAGTGCAAGTCACTTTTTATCTCGCTCTGTAGCCTCCTCATATGTATTCATGATACTTAAACTGAGCATAATGAACGATGCGACCCTTCGTACCTTAGGTACGGTCACATTAATCTGTCAGCGTAACCAAAGTACAGCCACATCACAATGGTGTGACAGATGTGTATGTACAATACACACCTTGTGTAACCCCGTCACACCCTATCCATGCTTTTCAAACTTAATGTGGAGCTCTGTCAATTTCATTTCTCACTTTGCTTGTCTCGCAATAAAGTGCTCCGCACTTGCGTGTAAAGCTCCTCTAGTGTTCCGACACATGCTCTTAAGCATTCAGTGGATTGCACTTCGGCTTATAACCATCCTACTTGGTCATTGAGCATTCAACGCATTGCACTTACGCTAAAGCATCGTAGTGTTACGACACTCGCTTATCAAGCGTTAAGTGCCTAGCACTGGTTAATAGAACCTTGGTACTTTCTTATAAAGCTTTAAATGCCTAGCACTTGCATTTACAGCATTTCAGGGATCTGAACACTTTCTCCTAGAGCATTATCAGCCTTTGCGCTCGCTTCAATAAAGGCAAAGCGTCATACGCTTGCATCCCTGCTCACAACCCAGTAACTCAGCTTCATCATGGATGAGGCGATGCGCCATGACATCTTTGAGACGATGACAGTGAAGTTGCCTTTTGGGACAGCGGCACCGAGTCATAGTCCCCACGGTCATCACTATCACCGAGCGAGATACGGCGCTCCCACTCTGTCCTCTTCCCCAAGGGGAACAAGTGCATTGCGCCAAGCGCCACCGCTTTCCTCTCGAAAGGGTAGGTATCTAACACTCTTGAAGCTGCCCAGACTCGTCAACTCGACGACGAGTCTCGACGACCGCCTTGGCACGACCCAAAGAAACAGTACTACGTCGAGGTTACGGATTATTAACTCGGGACCACAATGAGGATGCTGGGAGAGCTGCATCACAATCCTTGCATCCTTATATGATTGGGCCTCAGGACCGCACTGCTTGTGAGGTGCAAATCGTGTTGCATTTTGAAAGCGTCTCCTCACTCCACAGTAGGTTACGGCTACATCGCATTAGGAGCGACTGTCGCGACAGTCACGTGAGTGCCGGTGCATCCACTAAACGATGTACCAGTGGTATTATCACCAGGTATAACATCTGCGCAAGATGATCGCCAATTCGCCCGTTGGGTAGTAGGAGCTTGTTAGCTCTCAATTCTTTCTGACTTGCGCTTAATCGCTAAGGAGCAGGACTTTGGGGAGAACATCGACTTCGTATTGATCTCACAAAGCTCAAAGGTAAGTTTAACTAGCCACCATATAATCAAAGACTTGTGGGGATCCTGATTTTCAAGCAGTTGCGCGTTCCTCTCACGCAAGTAATGTACCGGCGTCTGCATCTCCAAACGTTCAGAGGACAAGCCAGCCAATTTTTTGAGAAGGAAGGCCGTACCTTAGATACTGTTCTCTTGGAGACGTGGTTGTATATAACCAAACGTCACAAGCATGTAAAGCTAGCCTTACGAGGGTTTAGAACCCTAAGACGTATAGCTCTTGGAGCTAGTCTGCCTGTGCACCTATCTTTGCTACAATTTTACTGCAGCGGTTGTAGCAGATCAATAGCGGGTAAAGATGGCTCGATAGAAGAGGACGCAGAGTGTGAAAGAGTATACTTATGGTCCTATCGAGAACCCCTAAAGGTCATCAGAAGGAAAAACGTACAATACTGTTACCTTTTCTGATATACATTCTGTGCGACTTAATGATGCTTATTGTGCCCTCAGGAGCTTGTCATATACGAGTTTATACAGAATTCTTGGCGACAGCAGCGACACACCCTTGTCTTCCTAATCACAAAGAAATGATTACCTTGAGACATCGACTGTAAATTAGGTACATGTTTTTACTATGCGAAGCATAACTGTTTTGTCTGTTTATAAGACCTCAGGATAAATTTACAGGTCGTTTTGAGCAATACTATGAGAAGAAAATGCAAAACTTTTACGTGTAGCATACAGAATCTAATTGTAAATGTGCAATCTGTATAAACATGCATCAGCAGATAGACACAGGAGCAAAGAAGATAAATTGCGAGCCATAAATAAGCAGTAATAATGCACACTCGACTTAACAAACACGACGAAATGCATATTATTTGTCGCGGATTTCTATTGACTTTGCTTATGTCAAGTAACAATTAAGGAAATAGTTGTATCAGCGACTACATCAATAAATATAATGAGGACTGTAACGAGTAACACAAGGTGTGGATTGTACATACACACCTGCCACACCATTGTGATGTGGCTGTACTTTGGTTACACTGGCAGATTGATGTGACCGTACCTAAGGTACGAAGGGTCGCATCGTGGCAGAGAGCAACGTGTTCACTATACTTAGTTAAGTATTGCGACTTTACATATTTACATATTCATAGGCTACAGAGCCAGATAAATAGTGACTAGCACTAAGTATATAGTAGGTGCTTCTATATTTATTGCTAGAAGTTAATCAAAATATATTTTAGTTCTAAGTCTGCTCTGAATCGCACAAGTGCTAGAGCGTTCTCTACCATTGTAAAAGAATTGCATCTTTGATACTAGTCTATTGGAGACGTGGTTGTTTACAACCAAAAGGCATAAGCTTGTAAAACTAGCCTTTGAAGGTTTAAGAGCCCTAAGACGTATAAGATCTTTGAGCTTGTCTTCCTTTGCACCTAGTGCATGTGTAGCTTGGCTACAGTAGCTCTGCTACACCTGGTAGCACTTGCAGCCAATACTGCACCTGGTTTTGCAACTATTTTTCTGTGTGAGAATGGACATCGAAGAGATGTCAGCGGTTGGCATGTAAAGGCGCAACAGGAAGAATCGCAAGAGCCGCTTCCTATCCTTGGCCCTAAAGGCGTGGATTATCTCGTCGCCCAAGGCAAAGAAGAGGTTAACAAGCGTATTCATCTGCTTGAAAATTATAACAACGCTATAGTCGAGCATGTAAAGGCACATATGCCTTTTTCTGCGCCTACGCCCATGGTGGGAAGAAGTCCGCGGACCAAAATCCATACATATGGAAGTCGGTAAGTTCAAAGGCAAGGAAGGTGACAACCTTATACTTTGGTTCCGACAGGTTGAGACGGCTATGATTATAGCTGACAGCACCTATAAACCGTACCGTGTTGGCTTTGCCACGGGTAAGTTGGGAGGATTAGCCAACAAATAAGCATTCACATGCAATGCATCATTGCAAGATGTATTCCAAACAGCGGCCGATATCAAAATTCAGGTTACCCGGCAATATGCACCGCCAAACTAGGCACACCGAAATCGGCCGCAAGTTTTGGCGTGTCGCCAAGGCAAGCGTGAGTTTGCGGCATATGTACAAGATTTGAGAACTCTCGTTGCTGCCATGGTCATAGATCCTATGCCTGAGGCTGTGAATGTTACGGTCTTCAATGAGGGCCTCCCAATTGGCGTTGCCAGAACGAAAGTCTTTCGAGTAAACCCGTCCTCGTTAGAGGAAGCTGTTGGGGGTGGTATGGAATACGGAGACCAACTTAAAGGTCGCTAGGCCTGCCACTTATAACTGCTCGTCTGATGGGTCTGTTCCCATGGACTGTAGTCAAGTGGAAGATGAAAAAGCTGGGTCAAGCTGCGAAGCAGCAAACTGTGCTCAGATGTTATATCTGCAAGAGCACAGGCCATTTCATGGCAAAATGCCCTGAAGAAGGCATATTTGGCCTTAAAGGGCCGTCGACCCATGGGTAAACCTTCGGGTTTGTCTCGGGGAAACGGCGGATCCCAGTAGTCGCGGGGCGCCCTAGCGGGGAAGAACTGAGTTCTATTGAAGCTTTTAGGAGGTCAAAGCAAGCAGTGCCCCACCCGGAGACCCACACTCTCAGAAACGGAACGAGAATGCAAGCCAGGCTTGCTTGTCGTTCAAGGGACGGTTAAGGGATTTGATAAGCCATGGATCATTTTGATCGATTTGGAGGTATCGGCAATTATGTTCACCTTGCCACCGTGGAAGGTAGTCATCAGTATGCTGAGGAGCTTGTAGCGCGTGAGAGTGACACAGTCGCAGTTCGCTTAGCGACGGGTACGTGTTACGGTACCCAAAGTCCCGATGGACTTAAATGTTAAGTTATCAAACTTTAACAGCATGGAACACTGTCTGGTATTAGGCCTGGATGAGAGGTATAACCTTATCTTAGGCATGACATGGCTAGAACGTCATGAGCCATGGATTGATTGGAGGTCGAAGACCTTAGGCGCAACGCACAATGCTCCTAGTGGGGCTCTGGAGAGTCATGAGCCCACCTCTGCTAGGAAGCAAAAGCTCTTTTGGCGTGAACTATGGACCGAGTCGGTCCTATATTGAATGTCGGATTATCCGACTTTGTAGACACT